TAGGCAGGAGCTCTGCCACTAGCACGCCTCCCGCTGCCTCTGGTATCTTTTTATAAGTTATAGCCGTGTTAGCAATACACGAATACCTGGAATATCACCACCCAAATACTCCAATATGTGCCTCCAGCAAAAAATTAACGCACTAAGAACAGCATTATGAATCTCACAAAATGAGTAACACTAACTTGCTCTTTGATATTGAAAGTGATAGAATCACCTCCCTCGGGACAACCAAGTCCGAGATTACAAGGGCCTTGCTGATGAAGCTGCAGTGTGCTTTAGGAACCTGCAAATGTATAGAACATGCCTTATCAAGGATTATGTTTAACTCAGAAAAAAACAACACCAGGCTGGCCGAGTGGCTCAAATGGTAGAGTGAGTGCCTGTCTGGCAAGTGAGAGGCCCTGAGTTCAAACCTCTGTACTGCCAAAAAAAAACCCAAAAAACAAAAAACAAGAATGATGTTTAACTTAGCCACTCATTCCTGCTTTTAAGAACATCTTGGCAGACGTATGAAGGGGTTGGAAGGAAGGGCAGCGACCTGCGAGTCCTCTGGGCAGGACAGAGCCAGGACAGAGAGTGTATTGGTGGGCCACTGGTGGCGAGGTACCCAGGGTCTAATGACCGGTTCCAGTATTCAGACAGAAATGCTGTTAGTGCGAAGAGTGAAAGAAAGATGGGGAAAGACAGACTCCTGACTGTCCCTCACACTCTGTGCTTACCAGGAAAACTCTGTGAAGGAAAGGACACTGAGGGCGAAGAGGAGGGAGGTACACAGCACGTGCACACAGGGAGACTGAGGAATGAAACCAGCAAACACTGTTGGAAAGGGGGGAGAGGACGAAGAGGGGTGGACTCCTTCAAGGTACACTGTTCTCAAGGATGGAGTTATCACAATGAAATCCCCTCAATGTATGATAATTCACAAATAAAACTTAATAAAATAGCTTTGTTCTGTGAGATGAGTTTCTGAGGAGATCTCTACATAGAGTGCCTCTAAATTTAAAACAGACCCAAAAAAGGAAGATATGCCCATCCTCTGTACTTATAAACGAATAAATTATTGTGTGGATTGCTTTTCTAATATTCTCAAGCCTAGTTATCCTTAAGTGAATTGTCAAAAGAAGGGTTCCAAATTTTCCAAATGACAGCGAGACCTCAGATGACCTCCTTCCGAAGTGCAGGGCGACTGGGAGACCCCACTGCTCCAGACTCTAGCGGTGGGGTCTGGGCAAGGTGTAAAACTCTCCTGCCAGAGTCTTCCCAACTGTGACATGAAGACAGTGACGACAACAATGACAAATGCTATTGAGGTGTTCTGCAGGCAGAACGACCTCCAAGTGATGTCCACATCCTAGTCCCAGAATCTCTCCCATATGTCACCTCACATGGCAGAGGAGAATTACAGTTCCAGAAGGGACTAAGTTTGCTCATCAACTGACCTTCAAGTAAGACAGTTGTCACCATTATCCTGGTGGCCCAGTGGTACCATAAGGGTACTTAAAAAAGGAAAAGAAAGGCGACAGAAAAGTTCAAAGAGATGCAAGGTCAGAAGGAGTCAGCCATGTCCCCTTGTTGGCTCTTAAGATGGAGGAGGTGGTCACGAGGAAAGGAATGTGGACAGTCCCTAGAAGTGAAACAAGTGGAAAAAAAAATCAGACAAGCCTGAAAGTGAAGCAGTCAGTCTGTTGGAGCCTGGCCTTCCCTTGCTGGGAACTGCTGAGCGGGGTCATGACCGACCAGAGTCCTTTCTGAGAAGTCACTCCTCATAGTCGGGAAATGCCCAACAGAGGAAAAGGGACGACAGCCTGCACTGTGCAGGGCAGGTGAGTGAACTCATTGTTGAAGCTCTGGGTGGCACCACTCACCGAAAAACTCCAGAGTTACACAATGGCCTGTGGTCTGAGTGCCCGAGGGCCAAATGGCAGCCTTGGCTGTCACAGGGGGAAGACAGCCTTGGCGATGGCTGTGACTTAGTGATCCTGCTGTCCTGGGGCAGAGGTGAAGGGCCCATGCCCAGAAGTGATGGCTGTGCAGGGATTCCGTGCTGCCGGGCAGAAGTGAACCGAAGCCGTTTCCCACGGTGGGGCTCTTCCTTCATCCTCGCCATCGTGTGTTCAGCGTCTTCATCGGCAAGTGCAGACGATGCTCACCGAGGCCAGAAAACTCAAAAAACAGAAAACGTAGAAGGTGATGAAACCTTGTGCTCTGCGCCTCTCCTCAGGCTGCCAAACAGTTCAGGGACACCATGGCGCTTACCTATGACAGTCCTTACCTGGGACTCTGGGTAAGGCCCCTTGGTGGCACAGCTAGGCGAGCAGCCGTTTGGCAGTCAGCTCCCTCTCTGTCTCACAGGGCTTTCCCCTGCCGAGTCTGCGGTGGGGTCCCCACACCAACGCTCTGGTCGTTCCTGGGCCACCGAGGTGACGTATGTCCTGAGGGTAAGACGTTCTCCCGTGCAGACTTCAACTCTGGGGTGCTGACGTCTGTGTGCCAAACACCTCTGCCACGGTGCTGAGTCCCTTACTCAGCCTCAGAGAACCCCCCACCAACCCCACATCCTGCCACTAGCGGCTACAAGGCTTCCAGTGGGAAGGGTGACTGCCACCGAGTAGGACAGAAAAATAGGCCTCGTGGCCCTTCCTACATCACTCCAGAAAAGGCTCCCGGGCTCAGGTCACAGTGTCACATTTAAACGCTTCACTTCACCATGTTTACGAAGGGTGCTATTTTCTGGAGCCCACAGCAACCATTTGAGTTAGCTGGGTTTTGGAAGGTTGGTCGGTTGGCAGAATTTTCTAGAAGTTACTTCTGGTGTGTTGCATCAGCACACTCCATCCTGGAGCACTGGACTGAGTTTCAGTACCGAGTAGAACACAAGAAACCAGTCAGGAGTCTGCTGTCGAGAGAAAGCTTCCTGACAGCCAGAGACAGAAAGACCTGCTACCAGGTCATTCTGTGCACGGACGTTTGGGGACACGAGCCCTCTGGCCAGCAGGTTTTCCAAGGGTCAGCTTCTTGCAAGGCACCGGGCTCGGCCAGAGGACTGTGCACAAGACCTCGCCCCACGGCAGGCCTCGGTGGGTGCTGGGCCTGGACACTGTGACCCAGCTCTCTGTGTCAGGTCAGCTGCTGAAGATTATCACCTGCTCAGCTCAGTGGCAGGCGGTGGCCCTGGGTTCCTTCCCGGCCTCTCACGCACACCGGCTGCTGGGAGAGACACCTCCACTGGTGCCTCCACCAGCCCTGGCAATGAGGGGACAGCAGCCCAAGAGGCTGACCTGGCACAGGCGAGGAACGAGCGAGGGGAGGTGTCTTACCCGTGCTGTCACTTCATCCCACCACTTTGCCTGGCCCTCATCAGTTCCCTTCCTGATTTATGTCTCTCCATAGCACCAGCACTGGTGCTGTGGGTCTCACCTTGGCTGGCATGTCGTCACTTTCTCCCGAGTGCACCGTAAGCTCCATGAGGGGCCGTGTTTTATTCTCTCCTGTATCCTCTGTGCTTCTGACATGGCCGGCACGTTCAGTCACACTTGCTAGGTGAACAAGCTGTCCCAGTGACAATCAATTTTGACAAGCGTTCTATGGCAAACATCAATGCCTTAAGGTATCCTAGAGAAAAAATTATATTGTGTTGTCACAAAATGTCAGTTATTATCATCGGGATTTTCTTTAACTTAAAAAAGCTGCTTTAGTCAGGCAAGGTGACTCACGTCTGTAATCCCAGCTACTCAGGAGGCAGAGACTGGGAAGATTGAAGTTCAAGGCAAATCCTGGCAAAAAGTTAGCCAGACCCCCATCTCAAGCAAAAGAAAGTCAGGCGAGGTGGTGCAAACTGTAATCCCAGCTACTCAGGAGACATAGGTAGCAGGATCACAGTCTAGGTGAGCCCTGGGCAAAAACAAGACCCTGTCTGAAAAATACCTAAAGCAAAAAGAACTGGAGGTGTGGCTCAAGTGGTGGAGTATCTGTTAGCCATTGCAGGGCCCCAAGTTCAAGTCCCAGGACTGATTAGAAAAAAAAGCCACTTTACGCATTTATAAATGTGCTTGATAACTCAAGACAGGGTTTGAATAAAAAAGTTTTCCACCCTAAAATTCACGTCCACTTCAAAGAGAAAAATCCCAGCCTGATAAATGAGGGTACTATTTATAAGACCTTTCTTTGCCTTTGAAAACAGGTTGGTTCAGGGCGGATTTCTTTCTCTCGCGCGCGCTCTCTCTCTCTCTCTTTTTCCTTTCCTCTTTCTCTCTTTTTTGGGGGAAGCATGAGAGGGAGGGATCACACCATATTGTCTAGACTGGTCCCAGGTGATTGCCCTGCCTCGGTCTCCCTGGTATCTGGACTACAGGCGTGAACATCTGTACCTGGCTCATGACTGACTTCTTTGATGAGTCAAACAAAATTCTGAACCTCCGCTGCGCTGCTCTGCTCGTAATTTCTTGGTAACGACTTGGTAATGTTTCTGTGCAGGTGTGTTCAGAGCTCAGGGTGATCAATCCTTCAGAATGAAATCGCCGTCGTTGCTGCTCCCTAGAAAACGGCGTGCTAAGTGTCACATTTTATACCTGAAAAGCTGGGCTTTCGGAAGCAGTAAAGAGTCACCTGCTTAGATTCATTTCAGATAACCTGCATCCCTATTTATGAAAAGCTGGCTGCACTCAGGGTGCTGTGAGATGTCACATTGTTGGAAGGACAACAGGGGTGTTTAGAGTGTCCTCTGTCCTCCTGGAATCCCCAGGAGAGGGCAGACGTCCCCTCCCCGCCTTCCTGCATCCAGCTACCTCTCTTGACTTTGTTTGCAGTGAGAGAAGCCAGGCAGCCGAGAACTGCTGTTTGTTTCCCTGTGTTTACGAGAACCACGCGAGCTGGAAGATGTCCTTGCTGCAGTGAACCGATTGACTCTTGTGCAATCCTCAGCCGTGCCAGTCCAGAAAAGCCAGCCAGGGCGCTGGCCTCACTTGGAGCTTTTGCTGCTGCCAGCCACAGGAGGGACAATGAGGCTCTGGGCGATCGGCACCCTCCTGTTGCTGTGCGGCGTCCCAGCCTGGGCAAAAGACAGGCATTACTACATTGGGATCGTCGAAACGACTTGGAACTACGCCCCTGACAACGGGGAAAAGAAACTAATTTCAGCTGACACGTAAGTGGCTGTTTTTGTTGCTCGGGGGCCAGGTTTACAAATCGCCACCTTCAACACTAAATCCCATGCCATGAAGTCGCTTTTTAATCAGCTGTGTGCAGAGACTGCAAGGTGCAGGCCTGGAACCCGGGGCCCTTAGCAGCCTCCTCTGGGTTCCTGGGTGGAACCGAACTGCAGAGCTGCCCAGCTGGTGATCCACTGATCCTGGGAGCCTGGCTGGCCCAGCTGCCTCCTCTGGCCACTTGTCCTGTCAGCATTCCGTCCTTGTGTCTGTGGTACAGAGCTTCTTCGAGTTAAAGCAAGGCTGCCTGTGATGGTATGTGACTGACACCACTCACTGCTCATCAATGGCAAGAACACAATCCTCTGGAGCCCTCCAAACATCCACTAAGGAAATGGGGTGCAATTCTGTCCAAAACGTCTCTCCCTGGCACTTCTCAGGTGCCCCCGCACAGTAAATTACGGGTTAGTCTTTCACAGAGCCCTGGTCCTCATCTGTAACGGGACACAATGGGCAGGCAGACCCCACGGGGTTTGCAAGTGGCACCTGGGAACCTCGTAGCCCGGGGCTGGGCCAAAAACATTAGCTGTCCTCCTGATGCTCCCAGGAAAGCCCTGAAACACAGCCACGTCTCTGTGGATGCTCCCTTTGCATCTCACGATGCAGAAAGACAAAAAAGCCCAGCTCTCCTCGGCTTTCTTATTGAGGAAGTTTATGGAGACTCGGTTGTCAGCTGTAACAATGTTGACGAAATCCCTTCTGTTAGACTGAGGACCTTAGCACGGGCTTTGCTCGGGAACGAGCCTGCGGAGGGGTCTCCCACGACAGACAGATAGAGGTCACAGCCTCCTACAGCCCTGGGTACACGTGGGGGGCTGGAGCAGCAGCAGGAAGGCCACTGGGTGGGGACGTTTTCTGTGGGTCACTAAGAATGCTGTTGCTAGGCAAGTAAGGAAGATTTGTGTGGTTAGGTCACCTGTCCCTTAATGCCCACTCAGGGATAAAGTTTCCAATTGTCCCCTTGTCTGGGGTTGGGTGGGAATTTCCAGTACACCGCCTGTGAGGGGTGGGGGTCTGGTCCTAAGATTTACCACCAAGTAGAAATTTGACTTCCAAAACCGGTGCTCCCTACCTTAGCAGATGTATGTTAACAGTTAGAACACGAACGGGCCGAACGCCCAGCAGCTGCTAAGATCGTGGTTTGAAAACCAGCTAAATAAGTGCTCAACATCATAACCGCTGGCGCTGCTGAGTATATGAGATTGTTTAATTTTTACATGTGTTAACATTTTTCTCTTTTTTGAAAGTCCTGGGCATTGATCTCTGGTAAAAATTTTTCATAGTAAAAGACATACAGCAAACAGTAACAGCCAACTGTGGCTTTATCAATTTAGTAACATGTGTTAAGGGAAATTTCTGACCTAAAGATAGCTGATTATAAAGAGTACTAGTAATCTTATAATTATTTTTTAAACCTGCTCTTGAGACAGAATGGTCTTCTTAGGAGGCATAATTTTATAGCTTTAGTAGAGGCAATATTTTGTACGAATTCTGCATTTTCCTGTGTAGATATGATGCAAATTATATACTGTTCTTATTTCTAAGGAAAAAGGTCCAACACATTACAAAAGAAAACTTCTAGGCGAGGGGTGTAGCTCAGAGGAGAATGCCTGCCTAGCAAGTACAAAGCCCCAGGTTCCCTCTCCAGCACCACGAAGAAATAAATTCCTTAATTAAAATTAAAATAAAAAGAACCATCTTACTCATGGCCCACCACCCCGGTTTATCCAAAATCAAGTCAGCTTGCTGAGCATAAACTAAGTGCAAGGCATGCCCTTCCCTCGCTCCAGGGACAAAGTCTCCAGTTCTAGAATCAGGGGATGGAAGAGGGACCAGGGTTGGGAAGAGCTTGGCGGGGGACTCCTTTGTTTTTGTGGGGGGACTGTCTTTGGGGGGGCTATCTAGTGACTGTGAGCTTATTTACACCACGTTTCTTCACTGGGACACCTGGGAATACTCAGGCAGGAAGTGGGGCGTTGTCCAGGTGAACCCCAACTTCCTTGCTCCACAATCTCCCATGGCCTGACCACAGCCTAGATTTGTGCAAACTCTGGATGGCGCAGGTGTGCTGTCTCTGATTTCTCCCCATACATGAGAACAGGAGAAGGGCGTCAGGAGTTTTGCCAATATTACGCTAAACTTTTGGTATTAGTTGTGGGCAGGAGCAACTTTCGGTGTCCGGGTTTGCAGCATGTCCACCCGAGTCATGGGGGATGATGGATGGGGTACCACAAACATGGTGGACTCTCTCGTGTGATGGCGAAAGAGAAGCGAGATCAACAAAATGAAGAGTGGGGTGAGGAAGAGTCTGAGATGAGGGTGGAGACTGGGGTTAAGCACATCTTTGGGATGTGAAGAAGAAAATACGGGTTTTTTTGGTGGAAATGAGGTTTGAACTCAGAGCCTCATACTTGCTAGGCAGGTTCTCTACCACTTGAGCCACACCACCAGCCCCTTTTTAGTGTTTTTTTTTTTTTTTTTGAGATAGGGTCCCTCGAACTATTTTCCCCGGGCTGGCTTCCAACAACCTCCATCTTCCTGATCTCCTGAGTAGCTAGGATTACAGGCGTGGCCAGAAAATACATATCGAGGTGGCAGGAACTCCATCTGTCCTTATCACTGCTTGGTCACTGGTGCCCAGAACACAGGAGATGCTAAGCCAATCTTCGTGGATATGTAGAAATAAATGAATGAAAGCTATATAGGAAGCCAGGAGAAACCACAGGCTGTGTTGTACAAACGTTCCAGTGTGTGGACAGATTCCTGATGTAGAATGAACCAGGCAGTAGGATAACACAGGAAGCATCAGCCTAGGGTGATCTATCTACCCAGGGCTGGTGACACTGCAAACACTGGCAGGCACTGTTTCCGTGGTTAGGAAAATAAGGCCTGGCTGGGATTAACGCCGATGCTGCCATCTGTTTGAGTAGACAGGGTGGGAAGTCATTTCCTCATCCGGAGTGCTTGCTGCCATTTACTGCTGTCACTTCCAAATACCATGGACAGTTAGAGATTCCATGAGATGTAGTTCTTGGTCCTGAGTTATGTGCACACACACACACACATTTTCCTTTTGGTGGCACTGGGGTTTGAACTCAGGGCCTCACGCTTGCTAGGCAGGAGCTCTACCACCTGGCTGCTCAAGTCACTCCTGCCAGCCCTAAGTAATTTATACTTAAATAAGAATGAAAGGTATATGCATAAAAATAAGTCACAAAAACAGTGTACTCTGGGTACAGAGTAGGGATTAGATATTTGTTGACTGGTTCTCTGCCATAGGGAAAGGTAACACTGTTATTTCAGCTTCCTTTGTTTTTTCCTGGTGATGCCTAGGAAATGAGAAAAAGTAAGAAATTCTTTAAGCACGAGAACAGACTTTGCCGGTGCTCACTCAGGTGTGGAGTGACTTTCTTAGCACACGGTTTTTGCAAACATTGGTACTTAGTTTCCCAGTTCATTGTAGCTTCGGAAAACAAGCACTATGGTGGTGGTGTCATTCTGAGCAAACCCAGAGAGGAAGAAGAAATAACAGCTCAAAACCCAACCCAAGAAACAGACGACACGCTAAGAATCCTACTTGTAAGTATGATTCTGAGTGATCAGGACGTAGTAAGTATTGAAGAAATATCCATCTTACTATTATTATCAGAAAAGGTGGCTTTTCCCTGGCATAAAAATCAAATATTTTTAGAGAAAAAGTCATTTGTTTTACCACCCCCCTCCATTAAAAGATAAACACATTAAGAGTCTAACAAGTTTCTTTGAGCATTCAGCCACCCTGACTTGAGCCACAACGGACACCAAGCAGTTCCCTGGGCCATGGGGCGCAGAAGGGAAGACCTTTATCAGGTGTCCTGGAGCAAGATTAAGAGGACATATTTGATCAAAGCGGAGAAGCCCTCGTCAGAGGTCAGCTGGTGGGTCTGATTAATTAAGTCTACTGTTAGAAGTTAGTTAGCAGCTTCTGTGTGGGAAGCCTCAAATTTGATTTCACATTTTACATACATTGATTTTGGCTCAGTGTAATGACCTCTCAACTAACTATTTTAATACCCTTTCAAAAATAATTTAGAAATTTTTAAATAATACTTGAAGAGGTACAATTTTTGCCCAAAAGAATCTGCAAATTTCACTTAAAATGACTCATTCTTTGAGGTTTCCAAGTAAAATCCAGTAAGCAGTAGTGGGACAAACATTTTATTGACCACAGGCTGGATGAAGGAGCTAATGACGGTGACATTTCCTACTTTTGAAGCTCTGCTACTTTTTATTACAGCTCCCATTTCTCCTGAGAACAGATCCAAAGGAAGGCTGGCCCTGGGGTGCTGCCTCCATGCCTTGCCACTGAGAGAAAGCCCCAAAGGTTCCATCGTCACTCTCATTCATGCAGTGTGCCCTGGGGTCAGTTTCTGCCAGCTTCTCCACTGTTTTCCCAATGACTCCTGTGTGTTGTAGGCAGAATTCCCAAAACAGCCCCCCAGCGATGTCCTGCCCTAAGTCTCCAGCCTGTGAGTAGGTGACCATCACTCCCAGGATTCCTGTCATTGGCAGAGCTTACCTTAGGACACTGTGGTCTGGGCCCATCTAAAGGCATGCAGCAGAAGAGAGTCAGAGACTGAAATTGAAGGGGGACCCCACACACTGTTGCTGCCTGGCCTGGAAGGCGGACAGGGCTGGTAAAGAGGCACGTGAGTGGCCTGCAGGACTGGGAGAGGCCCCCAGCTGACCACAAGTAAACTGGGATTTCAATTCTATGAACTTAAGAAAGTGAATTCTGCCCATGATCTGAGACAGGAAGTGGATTTTCCTCCAAGGCCTCAGGGAACTGGTCAGCCTGGCAACCCTTTGATTTTAGGCTTGTGATGACCTGGGCAGAGACACAGCCATGAAGCCCCAGACTTTCTGACTTCTGAGATTATAAATGGCTGTTATTCCAAGATGCCAAGTGACAAAAATACAGCTAAAAAATCTGGCATGTGTGTCTCAATTAGTGAAGTCAAAAATCCAGGAACTTTTCACCTATCAAAGCCCAGTTTAGTAACCATGCCCAAACATAAACCAAGGCCAGTGGAGTGGACTCTAGTTCAGGAGAGAAACAGCGTCAGCATCTTAATATAGCAATAGAAAAAAACAATTCCTTGCCATTAAAAACTCACTTCAGAGTCTGAGGCTACCGGAAATGACAGGCTTTGGCTTTTTTTTGTTTCAAAGTAGTGGGGGAGGGGCTCTAAAGGCCCGGTGATGACAGGGAAGGGACGAATTTACTACAAGAGCAGAGAGGGGCACGCCACAGTGGCCAGCAGGAACACCTACAGTTAACTGAGAATTGTTTGCTTCAAAGACCAACTATAATACATTCTTGGACCAAACATCTGACTGGCAGACTTCCCGCAAATGTCTGGTGGCTGGCTGACCCTTTGTCCCCAAGCTCTGCTCTTAAAATTAAAAAGACCTTTCCTAATGACCTTCTGCTTTCCCTTGGAGAGAGCTTATGAGCAAACAGACCTCCCCACGTGAGAAGAGCAACGTGATCTGAAATTCTTCCCAATCTGGTTAAGGGGGAGTTTTCCCAAGAAAGGGGCGAGACGTGAAACCCAGTCTGTGAGCAGAAAAGCATATAAAAGGAATTCCAGATGTGAAAAACTCTGGCTCCATCACAGCTGCAGATCAATTATTTTTAAAGTAATTTTTCCCACGCCAGAAAATCTTTGTGAAGCAAAAAGCGAGCCACAAGTCTAGGGCGTAGGAAATGAGTGGTACAGGACCAGCTAAATGCAGTAAAAGCGTTTTGACAAGGTCTGCTGTGGTTTGTGGAACTGAGTGGGATTGGGTGCATTCCTCCCCCAGTGCTGGGGAGTCACATTCAGAAAATACAAGTACACATTCGATTCACATACGGCCTTCAGAATTTGAGAGCTGTTTTTAAGCATTGACCTTGTAACATGGCTACCAACACAGCTTGGTGAACACGGCTTAGATTCTCTGTCCAGATCCTGCGGCAAACTCACTCGAGGGCTTGGAAAAGCCTGTGTGAGGTGGAGTGGCCCTGGGGTCTCCTGCAGGACCAGGGTTGACACTAGAGACGTCACAGCTGCAGTCGTGGTCTGCCTGATCTTGCCCCGTTAGCTTAACGGACCGCACGACTGTGCTTTCATCTCGGCGACGCTCATGTCTCAGCCCTGTGTTCTGTGCCGTGCACGCTAACTGTGGGTTTAGGGCCGAGTTCACAGTTGTGCGGTGGTCTTCTCCACATGGCAGTGTCTCGGGGCTGTGGCCAGTGTTTTTCTGTGTCTTCTGTAACACAGGTGAAAGCAATGGGAGAACTGAGGCATTCCCACGGATTTGCTGCCTACCGCTGGCACAAAAGTATTACCTCTTCCTTCTACCTTCTAGCTTGGTCCTGCCATCAGAACAGGTTTGGAGGATCAGGAAACACTATCTCGGTCATGTTTCAATGCACAGCTCTACCTTCTTTGGGAATCTTGGGATTCATACAATCCAGGGAAAATGAGATTTCGGTCTATAATGGCGACTGTGAGGTGGTCATCGTCAAAGCCCCTTGGTTCATCCAGAGGAAGATGGTGCTGCTTTTACCAACACCTGCTCCCTCTGTCCAAACCCAGCCACTGGGACCACTGCCAGTGGCCATGATCCCTGACCACAGCCCCCAGGCTTAATCTGAGCAGCCAGTTGGCAGTGCCTGGCACTCCCAAGGCAGGTCCTGGAATTGGAGTTTCCCCCTTTTCTGTGTCATAGTGTCAAGGACTCCCACTGTCTGGGGCTGGGCTGCTCTCGCCACCTTCCACCTTGCAGGTTGCCTGACTCGCCCAGACACACACGAGTGTGCTGGTTAAAAACTGCAAGCCTGAGCCTCACTCCAGGCTCACAGAACCAGAATGAGGAGTCGGGCCCAGGAATCTGCATTTCTCTAATGCACACTGAAACTTAGGAGACACTGACAAGAGCCCTAGATGTGTGAAAACACGGTCGCTAAAACCTGCAGCAATAACAGGATCAGCCCTGCTCTTGTCTTGAAGGAGGGATGGGATCTGCTGCTCTCCCTGCTGAGCTGAGGGCTGAGGAAACATGAGAAAACTGAGTCCTCAGGCAGGTGTCAGCCTCATGGGGTGGAGTAGAGAATGGCAAGGTGTCAAAGATGGCCGAGACAAAGACAGGCCACACACACACGTGCACACACGTGTACACCCACATATTCATACTCACATCACACATATACACACACAAACACACATACACACACACAACAAACTCAAGGTCATCAGCTCACGTGGGCAGTTTTTGTTCAAGTGGAGGAGATGTGATCTGAGGACAACCCAAAGTGACCCCTACATGGCCACATGGAGGTAAAGCCCTGAGCTACCCAGTAACGTAAGGAGCAGATTAAGTTCCATGATCAAGTTCACTTTTTCCTTTTCCTTTGTCTTTTTCCCCCACTTACTATTTACTATGTTGATAGGAAAGTTTTCAGATGCTTTCACTGGTGCTGGTCCCATGTTAAGTACCTGTAATAGTGAAGATTAAAAAAGCAGCAGTAATTTAAATCCAAAGATAATTTTAAAACCACATACAGTACACGTATCAATTCTGGCCTTGATCTAGAAAACTGCTAAGAGAAATAAAAATGATACAGTCAACTTTGCTTCATTAATTTTACTTTGTAGGAAAACCCACAGAGTTACATTGCACACAGACTTTGAAGCCTCAAATTACCAGGTTGATTGCTTACAAACTCAATTTTTCCTGTAATAAGAGATAGTGAAAAATATCTTTACTGATGGGTTTATTTTAATATTTCACTTTAGTTTTTATTGGTTACTCTATTCCATAAAGCTTCTGTGTTTTTTTGTGTGTGTGTGTGTGAAAATCTTGCAAAGATTACTCTGGTAAAATGTACCATGTTGCTAAGACACCTTCCCAGGTGGTTTTTGGTCGTATTCCTGTTTTTAAACTGCTCACATCACTAAAATATCAGAGCCAACCACCTGCCGTCACCTGCACTCCTACAACGGGTGGACATCCGTGTGGCGTGGACATTCCTGTCTCCTTGACTACAATGTCATGCCCTGGAATGCTGGCTTCTGATGGCGGTGCCTTGTTTTCTTTTGCAGGGAACAATCCAATCTCTATCTTCAAAGTGGCCCAAACAGAATTGGAAGAATATACAAGAAGGCCCTGTACCTTCAGTACACGGACGGAAACTTTAGGACGACCATAGACAAGCCGGAGTGGCTGGGGTTTTTAGGCCCTATCATCAAGGCCGAGGTTGGAGATAAAGTTCATGTACACTTACAGAACTCCGCCTCTCGGCCCTACACTTTTCACGCACATGGATTGACTTACTATAAGGAGCATGAGGGTGAGTTCAGTGCATGTGAGCTGGCATTTCCTCTTCCTTTTCGGGAGAAAAAAGCTTAACTCTAACACACCTCTTGGATAAGACCTGTAAGTATGCCATTTAGCTCTATTTTATCAGTAGATATTTTTATCAAAATATGCCACATTTCTCCTGGTTGTGTGTGTTTGTGCAAAGTGTGGAAATCATAGGTTTCCAGGTGGACTCAGGTACGGAGAGTCAGCAAGAGCTGAGATTCCTCCCGAGTCCAACTCCTGTCCAGCCAAACATCAAACAGGAGTGGACTGTGCTGTGCCGAAAACCTAGAGCAGGCACGCATCCAGAGGACAGAGCGAGGAGGACTCAGGGTGGGGACTGGCTGAGCTCTGAAATTTCTACCTGAGACAGACTGTGGCTGCAGTCACCTCGCATCCTAACTTGTGACAAACTCTGTCCCAGCTAAGGTGGGAGGACTAAGTGTCACATATCAGCCAGGTAGCACACATGGCTGGGGACCCCAGAGTAACGTCTGAGACACAAATGACCAAAGGGTCATTTGGATATAGCACTTGCCAGCCTTGAGGATGACTTATGAAGCTGGGTGTGATGGCACATGCTTCTAATCCTAGTTCTCAGGAGGCCCAGGCAGGGGGATCTCAAGTTTGAGGCCAGCCAGGGCTGCATAGGGAGACCCTGTCTCAAAAAAAAAAAAATAGTGCGTAAAGAACAAAGGGAAGTTTGGTGCTTCTTGCCTGGCTTTCTTTTTTGTTGTTTTTTCTTTGGAGACAGGATCCCAGTGTGCAGCCCAGGCTGGTCTTGAACTTGAGATCCTCCTGCCTCAGTCTCCTGGGTGCAAGGATTACAGACGTGCACTACCATACCTCTTGCGATTGCATTCTTGGTGCAGGTTGAATATCGTTTATTGGAACTGCTTGGGACCAGAGCGCTTTGAGTTTTGAGTTTGAGAATATTTGCATAAGCATAATGAGGTATCTTGGGGAGGAGACCCAAGTCTATACGTGGAATTTATTTACATTTCAGATACACATGATCTGAAGCTCACTTATTGATTTTTAATAATTTTGTGCATGAAGCAGTTTCATGATGTAGCATTTTCCACCCCACTTTGGTCTTCATAGAGTCTCAGATTTGGAGCCAGGGCCAGGCATAGTGGCTCATGCCTGTAATCCTAGCTATATGGGAGGCTGAGATCAGGAGGAGCACGGTTCTAGGCAAGCCTGGACAAGTAGTTTTTGAGACCTCATCAGCAAAATAACCAGGGCAAAATGGCCTAGAGGTGTGGCTCAAGCAGTAGAGCTCCTGCTCTGCAAGTACAGAGCCCTGAATTCAAACCCCAGTGCCACCAAAAAAAAGGTTTCAGATCTGAGAAGCACTTGGGATTTCAGACTTTAGGTTTACGATGCTCAGCTCCTGCTTGAGGAGGGAAAAGAGGGGTGCTTTGTTGTGTTTAGAAAGGGCTTTGATGTTAACAGACTGCAGTTCAGTCCCAGCCTTGTCTTCTAGAGGCAGTGACTTTCCCCAAGTTCCTTAATCTGTGCTCAACTTCCTCCTGTATGAAATAGCCACAATGACAGTACAGAGTAATAGCTCAATAAATGTCAGCTATCATCCTAAGAGAAATTAACACCGTGCTGCAGTTCATTCAGATTATAAGAATCAAGACTGGAAATTCAGAGAAAGCTAGTGATTAATCATTCATCTTTTAAAAAAGAGGTATTGTTTTATAAAGTCAATGTTTATACCATCTCTTTTTGTTTATTTGTTTGTTTATTTTGGTACTGGGGGTTGAATTCAACACTTTGGGTCACTCCTCCAGCCCTTTTTTTGTAATGGGCTTTTTTTTTTGGAGAAAGGGTCTCCCAAACTATTTGTCTGGGCTGGCTTCGAACCTTGATCCTCCTGATCTTTCTCTCTCTGCCTCCTAAGTAGCTAGGATTACAGCATTTGTTTATTTTGTGAAGCAAAAATACCACATTCATAGCACAAATGAATGACCATTATCTTTCCACTTTTTTACAATTCCATGGTACCTTAGGGAATTAGCATTCATTTTAAAACTATGATAACAGGCTCATGATTTTTGTTAAAAGAAAAAGAAAGTTCCTTTAGTGATAAATGCTCAGGTGTGTGTGCATGAAATACAATTTCTGGGATTTCTGACATCTCTGAGGGTAGATGGAGCGTGGCTTCGGGTTTGCCGTTGTTCTGGCTGGGTTGATGGGCGCACAGGAGGGCTGTCACCTTTGGAGGAACGTGGAGAGTCACCCCAATTTCTGCATGTTGGAAAAATCCCAAAATGAAAAGTAAAAAATTTCACGTTCCATGGTTACAACACTGGCAACCCCCCCACCCCAATATCACATAAGAAGTTTCCAATTATACGAGAGGATCGTTACTTTGCTCAGACTTCTGTACCATGACCCCAAGGCAAAAGTTGTCCTTTAAATTGCAAACTGAAAGTCACATCCTCCTGGCTTGTCTGTTGTTGCTCCCAGGAGACTCAGTCGCGAAATAAGGAATGTCTGGGAAGCTTCTATAATCCTTAGCCTTTAGCTTATCATTTGTCTGTACCCAAGTAAGACACCACTGCCTCCCCAGGGGGCTCCTGTGAGATCGAGCACAGCCAGGCCCCAGGGAAACTCAGTGCATCCACTCTCTGACCCCGATGTGTGCTGGTTCTAGGGGCTATCTACCCCGACAACACCACCGGCCCTCAGAGGACAGACGACACAGTGCTTCCCGGGCAGCAGTACACGTACGTGCTGTACACCAACGAGGAGCAGAGTCCTGCAGAGGGGGACAGCCATTGTGTGACCAGGATTTACCACTCTCACATCGACGCCCCGAAAGACATCGCCTCAGGACTCATCGGACCTTTAATCCTCTGCAAGAAAGGTGCATCTCCTCATGACTGCTCACACTGCAGGCTGAGATGCAGGAGGGGGCAGCTAGGCCCTTAAAGATGCTGTTCTTTCAATTGAGGTTGAGGAGGAAAAGAGACAGGAGGTCAGTCTAGGAGGAGGGAAGGAGAGAGGGAGGAAGGAAAGAAGGAAGAAAGGAAGGAAGGAAGGAAAAGGAATGGAGAGAGGGAGGAAGGAGGGGAAGGAGGAAAGGAAGGCAGGAAGGAGGAGGGAAAAAGGAAGGGAGGGGAGGAGGGAGGGAGGGAGGAAAGGAAGGACTAGCAGATGAAGGTGTAACTGCCCAGCCTTTGGGGATCAGTTCTTCATGGGGACAGGTTTCTGGATCTAAATTCCGTGGAGCCATATGGAGACAGGTGACTTTGCCACGTGTGCCTCTCTTGGTGGTACTTCGTGGTGCTATGTCTGTAGTTACCTGCAACACGTTAGTAAATAGAACAGCTCAGTGTTCAGTTCCAACACCATCAAAAAGGCAACATAGCTCAAGAGCTTGCCATGTAGGCTTCCCTGAACGGTGGCTGTTACCCGCAGAGCTGAGTTGCCCCAGCATGGTGACAAGCACCGGGAGATACTCACTTCTCTCTGAACCCCAGCCCTCCCATTTGCCCAAAAGCACTGAATCCTCGTGTGGCCAGCGGCTGTGCAGATATGAGGGTCTCCCAAGCACAGGACACTGAACGTGGGAGGAGTGACTCCAGAGGAGCCATGGGTCCAGATTGGTGGTTTGTTAGGAGACTAAAGACCAAGTTTTTTAAAACTACAAATCCCCTAAAAAATAAGTCAAAACACATGCTAAAAATCTGCGTCCACTAAACTAGAAACTTCTACTGCAGATTCCCTGCATAAGGAGAAACAAAAGCACGTGGACCAGGAATTTGTAGCCATGTTCTCTGTGGTGGATGAAAATCTCAGTTGGTACCTGGAGGACAACATTGAAACCTACTGCTCTGAGCCGGACACAGTTGACCGGGACAGCGAAGACTTCCAGGAGAGTAACAGGATGCACTGTAAGGACACACGCGAGTCCGCCTTTCTCCTTCCTTCCTTCCTTCTGCTAAGCTCATTCCCCTGCGTGAATAGCGCTGTGTTTCCAGTCCCTGGCCTGAAAACAAAGCACAGTGGACACGCAGCTCCATCTCCATGTAAACAGCTCAGCATACACACACTGAGCCGGGTAAGGCTGCATAACCCAAACTCGTTCCTAACTCACAAGGATAAGCGTCACCTACTATAGTGTAAGAAGGATGGATGTTAAATGCACATTTCACGTATCCCCCAAACTCATTCGAAAACTTATTAGGCACAGCCACATAAACTTATCTAGCTAACTGCTCAAAATTATACTTATGTTACAGGTAGTTCAAACCACGAGCCCTAAGCGGGATTCCTTTTAGGCACTTCGTTGCTCTCCTGAGGCCTGCACTCGACATGTGCTTTTCTGTATTTTAGTTTTTAATGCCTTCCAGGAATGCCTTCTTTATAGACCAAGCCTTTCCTAATTCTCAGACACAAAATAATGAACTTAGTAAGATTATCTAAGCTGCGTATGGTGGCACATGCCTGTAATAACAACACTTGGGAGGCTGAGATAAGAGGATTGAAAGTTCAAGTAGCTGTCGTCTTTCCAGTCACCAGCGTCACTAGTCACAGACTGTGCTCTTGACTTACAGCTGTGAATGGGTACACGTTCGGAAGTCTCCCAGGACTGTCCATGTGTGCAGAGGACAGAGTGCAATGGCACCTCTTCGGCATGGGTAACGAGGTTGATGTGCACTCGGCCTTCTTTCGAGGTCAAGCTCTGACCAACAAGAACCACCGCACGGACACGATCAACCTCTTCCCCGCCACCCTGACCGAGGCCTTTATGGTGGCCCAGAACCCCGGGGTCTGGATGCTTAGCTGCCAAAACCTGAACCATCTACAAGGTAAGACATCTTTATCTGGAATCAGACCTCAGATGAGAAAGCAGAGCTGTGTCCTGACTACTCCAACAACCGGTGGTTATTGGAAATCAGAAACCGAAAGGCATTTATCCTAATTACGCATCTTAGTTTTACTTCCATATGGCATTTATCACAGTGTAACAAAAAAGACCGACCGAAAGATGGGCATGAAGTGTAAAGCAATGAGATCCGAAAATAGACTCATTTCTAGGTAAGGCCAAGTGGTCCTGCCCGAAAGTATAGCTTCTCAGCTTTGTAAAACACTGATGCTTGTTTACAGAAGTAGATTTATAGATTGAGTTTTTTGACTTGTTTGCTTTTTGTCTTTGTTCTGGCTAGTCTATTCCTTAACTTGATAAGCTTCCGTCTCCCAAATAGAAGGGGTCAGACAAAAACATCCCTTGTTCGTGATAAACATTTGCTTGTGACATTGACCTTAGGGAATTAGCCTTCCCATGGGTCTTTGCAAGTGCTGCTGTGACCTGCAGGCAGGATTGTGCTTATCAGATGTCACGTGGGTCACACAGAAGGCCTAGCACAGCAGGTGCACGGATGCTTTGTGAGATAGCAGTCACCCAGCTCACTCTGTCCCTCCTCATCCCACCCCGCCACCCTTCAGAGACGCCAAAGCTCCTCTTCTTTGCTTGTCTATAAATCAGTCCTTTCTGTTTTGCCAAAGAGCTCCCAGAAGAACCACAGGAACTGTTGTCACATTTGAAAACATGTGTGCCTAATGCCCCTGCAACGTACCGTTCCATGAAATGAGCTATGTCCTCAGCACTTGACTAGTCCATCAGTGATGTGGATACAGCTGTCCACCCTAGGTTAGCGTGTCCTCGCCGCCTGTCCATGGTTTCCCATCTGTCATCTCTCTGGCACGTGATCAGGGCAGGAGGAGAGAAGCTTTGCCCTCCGTAACTGCCTCCTCTGTGCTCTTTCAGCTGGTCTGCAAGCCTTTTTCCAGGTTCGGGACTGTGGCAAGTCCTCATCGGAGGGCAATGTCCAGGGGGCACAAGTTAGACACTTTTACATTGCTGCTGAGGAAGTCATCTGGAACTACGCTCCCTCGGGTATAGACGTCTTCACCAGAGAAAACTTAACAGCTCCTGGGAGGTAATTCCAAAAAGAGAGTTCCTTCAAAATATGTCACACATCCCCAAACAACCGTAAAAGCCTGATTCTGCAATAAAATTTTCAATTGGTGTGTGGTTTTAGTAACCACTAAATATGTACTAAGGTGTTTGGCCTAAGGGTCTGAGTTTGAGAACTATAACTTTTGAATCATAAAAATAGATGGGTTTGGCTGGGTAAGGTGCCGCACACCTGTAATTCCAGTCAGTCAAGAGGTGGAATTAAAGGAAGATTCAGGTTCAAGGGCAGCCAGGACCAAAAAAGTTAATGAGACCTTATCACAACCAATATGCTAAGTGTGGTGACACAGACCTGCAGGAGACATAAGAGGTTCGAGGCTAGCCACCAACAATTCCAAGACCCAATCTGAAAAATAACTAAAGCCAAGAGGGCTGGAGGCCTGGCTTAATTGGTCGAGCATCTGTCTAGCAAGTGTGAAGCCCTGAGTTCAAACCCCAGTGCTGCCCGAAATAATGGATGGATTCAAATACCAAAAGCTCAATAGAGCCAGGGACCATGGCTCACGCCTGGAATCCCAGCTACTCAGGAGGCAGAGGTCAGGAGGATCATGATTCAAAGCCAGCCCAGGCAAATAGTTCACGAGACCCGATCACAAAAAACTCAGTGAAACCAAGTTTCCTCCTCTCCGAGGGAGCACCATCGCTGCCTATCCACGCCGTCCTCCCAAACCCAGCAGCACCCTGGACGCCTTCCTTCACCTCCCCCGCCACCCCAAGTCTGAACGTCTCCGACGGTGGCCTACTAACCTTTGCCAAGGCTTTGAAGCCATCTCTCCCCTGAAGCTGCATTTTCCAACAGGTTCTCCATGCAGCCATCCAGGGGTCGTCTGAAACAGTCCCTCAGATGCTGACCCTTCCCTAGGTCCTCCTGTCCCCCCAGCCCCCCAGACACAGGCCTTACCCTTAGCCTGGAAAGTTCTCCAGGACCACAGGCACTCTCATCCCCGCTGTCAGCACCCGGGGCTTTTGCTTTTCCTCTCCCCGCCACACACCCTTCATCGTCCTCACTCAGCCCTCCTTTAGCTTTCCAAAAGCACTTCTGCAAAGCCTGTGCGGGCTCTTTGCTGAGACCCGGGAGGTACTCTCTGTGACACGCTGTCCCTGTTGCAGTCCGTTATCCCAGTGGCATCACAGTCCACCTCCTCTGACACACGCACAACCCCTGAGCACGAGGAGGGATCCAGCTGGCTTCCGGCCACTGATAGCTGGCTTCCTCGAGGCAGCCCTACACATCTGAAGAAGAGACGACAGGGTGGCCTCGAGCAAATCGAACACGTCTGAAATTTAATTTGCAAAGCGAGGACAGCAGCAGCACTCACTTGCATGTCCTGTGGGTTTTAGGCAATCAGGGCACACTCTTGAGCACCGGACTGGCACCCCAGACCACAATCAGTAGCTACTGCGACTTCCCCAAGGCGTCACACTGGGACAGGGAGTCCTGCTGCACAATTTATTGCCAGGAATTGACATGGGCCTCTTGGGTTTTTTTCCTATGGGTGGTACTGGGGTTTGAACTCAGAGCCTCACGCTTGCTAGGCGAGTGCTCTAACATTTGAGCCACTCTGCTAGACTCTGACAAAGGTCCCTTGAAGTGTTTTCCCTTCACTCGAAATACTGAACCCCGTCGATGGGTCTCCTTTCCCCCACGTCCCTGGCCGGGTGGCCCGGGACAGTGCTCCAGCTGAGCAAGGCGGGGATTGCTGTGAGTCGCAGGTGACACTCATCAGTAAGAACTGACCAGGAGCTCATACCTGTCACCCCCTCTCTGCTCCACTCTGATGCCAGCCTCGCACCCCTCTCTCCCGGCAGTGAGTCAGCGGTGTTTTTTGAACAAGGCCCGACAAGGATTGGCGGCTCCTACAAAAAGCTGGTTTACCGGGAGTACACAGATGCATCCTTCACACAGCGGAAGGAGAGAGGCCCAGCAGAGGAGCATTTTGGCCTCCTGGGTGAGTCCCTGGGGAGGGCACAGCTGGAGCACTGTCTCCTGGGCCACCCAGTCACAGACAGAACAGGAGCTGAGGCCCGAGTCCCACCCAGACAGGCCTGTGAGGATCCAGGGGGTCCCCAAAAGGAAATCACCAGCAGCAGGCTCCTACGTCATTGGGTGGCTTCTGGTCTTCACAGAGATGAAGGGAATGTGGGCTTGTGTGACTTGGTCTAAGCAGATCACAAACTTGTTAAGGTCATTCCCTAGAAATGAAATGTGGCCCTGAGCCACACAGTCTGGGCCTGACCTAGAGCCCTGAGCACGCCACCCCTGGGAGCCCACAGACACCTACCTCTCAACCAGGGAATTCATCATTGGTGAGCAGAGTCCGGTTCTTTCCAGAACTTCCCTCTTTTTTTTGAGGGGGATGGGACTGGGATTTGAACCCAGGGTTTTGTACTTGCAGAGCAGGTGCTCACTGCTTGAGTGACACCTCCAGCCCACTTTGCTCTGGTTGTTTTGGACATGGGAGTCTTATGAACTATTTTCCCAGGCTGGCCTCGAGCCTCGATCCTCCTGATCGCAGTCACCCAGGTAGCTGGGATTACAGGCGTGAGCCACTGCACTTCCTTACTCTTTGCGCATTAGCTGTGTGGCTTTTAAAAGGTGCTTAACTTTTTATGCCTGCTCTCCTCTGTAAAATGGGAATACTAATAGCTCCTACTTCATGAAGTTGTAAGGAGAAAGTGAGTTATTACACATCAACCTCAATCCAGGTAGGATTTTGTATATCACATAAAGTGTTAGGTCCTGTATACCTATTTCATTCTGTGATTGATGAGAATATTAATTTTAGTGATGGCAAATTCAAAGCGGTGTTTTCCTTCACACCCATGTAACTTACCTGCTTGGGTGGACCTGGTTCATAGCACTCCCGACTCTTTGGGACAAGTCTACGCATCTCCCCACTGGAAGACTAGTGTAGCCGCTTCAAATAGTTTTTTGTAGATTAATAAAGTTTACTAACTGACTTGGGCAAAAGACGACCAATTTCATTAACCTGACCTTGGCTCACACGGCGTTTCCTGTCTCCAACCTCCCTGTGTCACATGGCGATGGACTTGTTCAAAAGCAAGCTTCCAATGTGCCACGATAACCACACGGCTCCTGGTGGCGCTTGTGAGAGGTCACAGCCAAAGAAACAACTCCGTCTACCTTCCGCATTTCCTAGACCAAGGGAAGATCGCCATCCTCTCTTTGTCCCCAGGTCCCCTCATCTATGCAGAGGTGGGAGACACCATCCGAGTCACCTTTCATAACAAGGTACAACACCCCCTCAGCATTGAGCCCACGGGGGTGAGAGTCAGCAAGGACCACGAGGGCACGCACTATGCGCCCCATGGCAGCCCCTCGGACGGAGGTGAGAGGGGAAGTCAGAGCCGTCGGCAGAGTGTGGTGACCCTGGCCCGGGCCATGCAGCAGCCTGCAAAGACTGACGGCGTGGTCCCGGGGACATGACTCCCATGTCAAGTTGACGGACCATGCAGCAGCCTGCAAAGACTGAGGGCGTGGCCCCGGGGACATGACTCCCATGTCAAGTTGAGTTGCGAGGGCAGAAAACAAAGCAGCCTCCTACCCTTCCCCACCGGCTTGTGGGACTTTGTCCTGCCTCACGGGGTGATTGTGGCAATGCTGACAGTAACTTAGCTGGGTTGTGCTGATTAATTAATTTCTGCAAGTTCTTGCAATTATAAGAATGTTAGGTGTGCATTTAAGTCATGACCAAAATATCAGTTACTCAGAGTTCTATAGACAACCACTCTTAGACTTTAATCTAATTCTTGCTTTTTCACGTGCGCATATGCATTTCAGATATGGTTGAGCCTCGTGGTACAGACACTGTCACTACAGTTTTGTGCCCAGTTGGCTTTCTTAGCGTTATAAGCATTTAGAAGTATAATTTAAATGATATTATTCCATGTAGGGATATTTTCGAGTATTTTTCCTGATTAAGGCTTACCAATGAAGACTACTGATTCTTTCGCCAGTCACAGTGTGCTGTGAGCAGGTTACTCAGCCTCTCTGGCCTTGGTTTCCTTAAGTGTAAATTTGGTTGATTTGCAAAGGATCACAGGCAAAGTTCCTGTCAGCTCAGTTTTGGTCAAGAAAAAACGTGTTGATTACGCTGGACATCGTTCTAGGTGATGGAAGGAGAGGGGTGACACTTGCCTTCAAGAAGGCTGTGTTCTGTTTGGGAGAGAAATGTGTATAAATAACACTAGACGGGCTAGCTAGGGTGTCCTCAGGGACACGTGAGCACAAAGGACACCAGTGACAGGCAGAGATGTTGAGGACAAGGAGGAAGCCATACCTGCTGTCACTCTGACTCAGGAGCACAAGTGCATGGTGATTCAGAACAAGGAATCAGAAGTGGGTCATCCACACTGAAGCCTGCCTGCTTTGTGGCTCCCATGACATCAGAAAGCACACGTGACCTCTCTAACATGGCCTCTCTCACAGGTGTGCCTCCTCACCCAGCCTCCCATGTGGCACCCAAGGAAACCTTTACCTATGAATGGACTGTCCCCAAAGAAGTGGGACCCACTTATGCGGACCCCGTGTGCCTGGCTAGGATGTATTATTCTGCCGTGCATCCCACCAAAGACATATTCACTGGGCTCATCGGGCCAGTGAAAATCTGCAAGAAAGGAAGTTTACTTGCAGACGGAAGGCAGGTAAGTCCAACTGGGGGAAAATGATTTGCTGATGTCTTTGAATTATTACAATCACAAGAAAAATTTGGGGTTTTGAGGCAGTGAGGATTTAACATAGAACTATAATTTTAAAAAATTTTCTCAACCTTGTAAGTTCTGTATTGTCACCAAGCATGGTGGTAAACCTATAATCCCAGCACTCAGGAGGCTGAGGCAGGAGGATAAAAAGTTTGAGGCCAGCTTGGGCTACACAAGTGAGACCCAGTCTGAAAGAGAGAGAGAGAGAGAGAGAGAGAGAGAGAGAGAGAGAGAGAGAATGAAGGAAGGAGGGAGGGAGGGAGAAAGGAGGGAAGGAAGGTAAGAAGGAAGGAAGGAAAGAAAGAAGGAAGGGAAGGAAGAGAGAAAAGACTGGGCATGGTGGTGCATGTCTGTAATCCCAGCTATGTGGGAGACAGAGGTAGGAGGATCATGGTCCGAGGCAAAAACCCCAAGACCCTTTCTGAATAATACCTAAAGCAAAAAGGTCTGGTGGGAAGGACCTGCCTTGCAAGTGTGAGACTCTGAGTTCAAACACCAGTACTTCCTTCTCCCCCAAAAAGGTATTTTTTTGCAAATATTTTTCTAGCAAAAATGTACCCAGATGGATTGACCATGATCTTGTCTATGGGATCCATGGCCTTTTGGAATAAAAGTAGCAATGAGAAAACGACCCTTTGGCTTAGAAGTAAAAATACTGTTCTAGCCCCATCATCATTTGTACCTCTAAAATAATTGATTATGCACTTTTAAAGATAAGGTCTCCTTTAAAAATGACTTCAATTCAAGGATCACATCTCAAAACAATAATCACATATCATAATGTCTCCTTAAGCTGATCAAGGATCCAATCAATAGTCAGTATTAATTGTTTTAAGTTTGCTGTTCGAGTCAGTTTCCAAATAATTACACATTTGACAATCACTTGACATGATATTTTACTTTTGAGGTACTGTGATTTGAACTCAGGGCCTACACCTTGAGCCTCTCCACCAGCCCCTTTTGTGATGGGCTTTTCAAGATAGGGTCTCTCAGACCAGAATCGTGACATGTTTTTCTCTCTCCTCCTCTGCTTCCTGTAAGCCAGTGGTGAGATCCAAAGGTTGGATCAGACTCAGACTAGATTGTTTGCTCACACAACAACTTCAGGTGTGGCCCTGGGCACTTGGTAAAGAAGAAAACATGTGGGGAAAGGGGTGTCATCACCACTGACCGCCTTTTCCTACATCTGTTGACTGATCAGGAGTAGCCCTAATCGTAGCTGGCATTCTTCCCCAAACGGAAACTTCCACTAAAGACTTATTTGGTGACCCAGAGGTACATGGCATGGAGGAAGGAATGACGAGTACCTGGTCCTTTGTCCCTGTGTTCTTCAGTTTTCAAATAGCTCACCTTTAACATATTTCAAAGCTCTTAATAATGTCCTTTTAAGTAGTGTTGTGTTTGTCCCGTTTGGGGATTTTCACCACTCTGATAGGAGGTAAGCAGGTTCTTCATTCTCCTCCTAGTGACCTGGAAATGTCTTCTATTTGAAAATGAATCGTTCAAGCTGTTTAAGAAGCATGCTGTGCTTGGCAAAAATTCACTGGTGAATAAGACAAGCCAGTTTCCTGTTCTAATAGGGTTTGTATTAGAGCATACGTAGGAGGAGATAGGCAAACACACACAAAAAGGAAAGATAGATACCTTCAGAAAGTGACCCATGCTTAAAAACATAGAGCAATGGGACAGTGAACCCAGATCTTGATAACAAAGCAATAAAATTTGAAAAGAGATTGAAAGTTCACCAAGGCCGCCTTGCAGAGACCTGGACAGAGAAAAGGGAAGTGGCAGTGCCAGGCTGCCGCAGTTATAAAAACTTCCTTTTACCCGGGCGTGGTGGCGTATGCCTGTAGTCCCAGCTACTGGGAGTGGGGGTGTGTGTGTGCTGAAGCAGGAGGGTGGCTTGAGTCCGGGGGTCTAGGCTGTAGTGTGCTATGCCCCTCAGGTGTCCACACTAGATTCAGCATCAATATGGTGACCTCCTGGCAGCCTCAGGAGGGGTGAGCCAGCCTGGGTCAGAAACAGAGCAGGTCAAAACTTCCTTGACCAGTCGTGGGATCCTACTGCCCTCCAGCCTGGCAACACAGCAAGACCCTGCCTCTTAATAAAAATAAGTAAAAAGAAAATTCTTCTTAGCTATTTTTAAGTGGACTCTTGCAGAGACACAGCCTCCGAAATCCAGATGTCACCAGGACATCTTCAGGCCTGTTTCCGTGAACGCTGAGTCTGAATAGTCACGTGCTGTTTTCTGGGGTGAACATTTCTGCTGGGATTTCCCATGGTTGGGTCTCCCTGTTTATAAGTTCTCCTTCTACAGTTAATTGCCACGAGTATCTCCCTATCTCCTCAGCTCTTCCTCTGGCCATGGGTTCTCTTTAGGCCCCTACATTGATGATTCGGTTCTCTGTAGCAGCTCACCTGCAGGTCTCTGCCTCAGTTGCACGTACCGCTTTGATAGCCCTGTCTCTCATCTGAAAGGATGACCTTAGGAGAAAGACATCAGTGCCCTCTGCCGTTTCCTCTCCTTTGAGGTTCCATTTTCTCCTTCCTTAGACCAACTGCCTTTTTCCAACCACTGAATCATTTCAGACCAGTTAGCATCGCTGCTTCCTTGGCCCCATGCCACTCCCTTCTCAGCTCCCCGGCAAGTGACCTCCTCGCCAAAGTCTGTCCCCAGTCTGCTCACTGCCCAGCCTCACAGGGATCCTTAGACTTCACAACTGTGGCTGGCACCACAGTTCCCACGTGTTAGTTAGTTTTTCTTCATTGTCACGTAAGAACCACCTGAGCTAAAGGGAGAATTTTATTTTGGCTGGCGGTTCAGAGGTTCCTGTCCATGGTGGGCTGGCTCTGTGGCTCTTTGGCCTGTGATGAGGCAGAAGCATCGTCAGGGAAGGGCCTGGAGGAGAAAGCTGCTCACCTCAAGGCAGCCAGGAAGCAGAGAGGGAGAGGGCAGGGGAAGGGGGCAGGGGCCTCTTATACCCTAGCAGGACCTATTTCCTCCGACTTGCCCCACCTCTGAAAGCTGCCATCTCCCCCTCCCCCAATACTGCCACGAGCTGACCTTCAGGGCGCATTTCAGATCCAAACCACGCACCCCTATGTTGGTCGTGTTTGAGTGGCTTCGGCCGTGTGGGGAGGCGGGCAGGAAGGCAGAGGAGGCTCAGGACATTTAGCTGCAGCAAGGCTCAGATTACTGTGAGGAACCACGACCCACGTGGACACCAGTGGACACCTGGGGGGGGCTGGGCCATTCCGGAGCCTGGCTGGCAGAGCACGGGCGCTGTTTCGCACAGGCAAGTCTTCTGCCTCACTCCTCCCCTCTTCACTTCGTTGCTCTTACTTTGACTTACAGAAAGATGTGGACAAGGAGTTCTTCTTGTTCCCCACGGTCTTTGATGAGAATGAGAGTTTGCTCCTGGATGACAACATTCTGACGTTCACAACCGCACCTGAGCAGGTGGACAAGGAAGACGAGGGGTTTCAAGAATCTAATAAGATGCACTGTGAGTACCGCGCCTCCCTCCTCCAGCCTGCCCGGTCCCGCCAGGGCTGCACACACAAGGCTTTTCACTGAACCAAAACGCCAGCAGCTTTCGATTAACTTTCAACAAGCGACTAAAGGCAGCGGTGCTCTGCGGGTAACAGCACTGGGGTTCCAACGTGTGGGTCATTGCCTGTCATTTCACTAACTGGAACAGTTAGACGTACAAGACACACTGTTTGGACGGATGGTGCTTGAAGTGGGGCTGGGGGCTTTTGAGAAATGGACATGCCAGAGCCCAAGCCTGACCTACTGAATCAGAAACTCTGGTGACAGAGCCCAGAAACCTGTGTCTAAGAAAGCCTCTGGGTGAGGCTGTCTGCTCAAGTTTGAGAACTGCTGGGTGGGATGCTTTTTCCTCTGTGGTTCAACAGGACCAACAGGCTCCTTGGATTACCCAGTGTGTAGGAAGCTGTGAACTCTGCTCTCCAGAGCCGCACACTTGACCACACACGAGAGTCAGGGAGCTCTAGGAAGGTGCCAAGGCCCCAGGACAAGCCCCGCAGATTTTAGTCAACATAAGCCTCACCTAGGATGTATTTTTGCTCTCTCAGTGTAATTCTAAAATGCAGTGAGGGTCTCCAGACAGTGAGTCAAGTGTTCAAAAGGCTCACATCACTGACGGACAACGGTAAAGTCTGTAGCTAGTAGAAGGAAAACAATGTAAAGTTTTGTAACAGACAAATGCTGCTTTATGGATTTTTTTTTTTGTTTTTGCTTTTTTTGAAGCACACTTTTCTAATCACACTATCCACAGTCTGTAAAATATTTCTTTTGGCAATGCATTGTCACCATTTGGAAGTGTCATAAACATCAGCTGTTGAAACAGCAGTGAGGGAACATTTCCTGCGATACTCTTCCCTGTACTCAAGATGAGTCAGAGACGTTTCTATCCAAAGCAACACATTCCCAGTCTGTGACGTGCAGGAAAAGCTGGTGTTCTTCGTGGGCTCAGAAATGTGACCACTGAAAGAAGTGAACCTAGTGGTTGCGCCTGTCTGTCCCTGCTGGGAGGACAGAGACATGCCAGGCTGCTAGGAATGCAGGTGCAATGCAGAATTTCAGGAACTCTGTATTTAACTGTGCTTCCCTTTGGTCAGGGACTGCTCAGGGTCAGGAGGTGCTGGGGACAGTAACACGTGAAGGACAGGGAGTTTGAAGAGGTCTTTAGACAAAAAGTTTAAAGTTGGTTTTAGAAAGTCGAGAGGTTGTCAAGCAGTAGGACATAAAATAAACCACTTTCAAAATATTTTTTTCAGCTGGGAGTAATTCTAGCTACTTGGAAGGCATAGGTATGAGGAGCCCAGTCTCAGGCCAGCCCCAGAGAAAAGCAAGACCCCATCTGAAAAAAAACCAGAGCAAACGCTAGAGCACCTGGCTAACAAATGCAAGGCCCTGAGTTCAAATCCCAGTTCTGCAATAAACAATTAAAAAGAAAATCCCACCATTCCCTCCCCAACTTTCCAGCCATGAATGGATTCATGTATGGCAACCAGCCTGGCCTCAACATGTGCCAAGGAGCCATGGTGGTGTGGTACTTGTTCAGTGCTGGAAACGAGGCTGACGTGCATGGGATATACTTTTCTGGAAACACGTACCTGTCGAAAGGAGAAAGAAGAGACACAGCAAACCTCTTCCCCCACACGAGCCTCACGCTGCTCATGCAGCCCGACTCGGAAGGTGGGTTTCTGTCGGTCAGCGTGTGGGGTTCGGCTTGAAAGCCTGCAGCAGGACACGCGGATGATGAGCTCATCCTCCCTGCGCTCGTGTGCTTACCCGCGAGCGAGGGTGAGGGCGGGCTCCACTGGCTGAAGTGTTGCCAGTTGTGGTCCTTTCAAAGGGAGCCAGGCTTATAGACTTCCTGTGCCAGCTTTTCACCACGTCCTCTGTAAGCTGGACACAGCGTGGGCCCGCGGGCTGCGTGATCGCTGGAACTGTAGCCGTGCACACGTGGTGACCTCTGCAGGCCCAGAACCGCTCAAGTGGGTGAGGCAAACAAAAAGGGAGAAGCTCAGTCAGAATTCGAAAACGTGCTCTTTTGTTTCAGACCTTATTGGGCTCACGGTGTGCCATTAAAACTTCAGCCAGGGGCTGGGATGTAGCTCGGTGGTACAGCGCTTGCCTAGCATGCGTGAAGCCCTGGGTTCGATCCCAGCACCAAAAAAGAAAAGACAAAAAAAAAAAAAAAACCTCTCCCCCAAAAACTTAAGCCAGGCCTGGCGCCAACTTCTCATTCACCATACAAATGCAAATTCAACAATGAACAGGCCAGATAAGGTGTGTCACCGAGATAAACATGAGCACAGGAAGAAAACGGGGCAGGGGAGGGATGACTAAAGGGGAAGGGATCAAGATCGCCTCAGGAGATGACATTAAGGAAAGACCTGAATAGAGCGGGGGCACCAGCCATGTGGACACCTGGGAAGAAGTGTCCCAGGCAAAGGTCCTGAGGCAGGCACACACGTGACCTACCTGTGTGGGTAGAGCACAGAGTGCAGAGGTGTGGGGAGCCGGGTCAGCTCCTGACGTCTGAGTAAGGTGGGCAACCTCAGGGAGCACCGAGCACGAGTGACATGCTTCTTGTTCACCCCTCCAGGGACTTTTGATGTCGAGTGTCTTACCACGGATCACTACACAGGCGGCATGAGGCAGAAGTACACTGTGAGCCAGGGCAGGCGGCTCTCGGAGGGCTCCCCGCAGTACCTGGGAGAAAGGACCTACTACCTGGGGGCCGAGGAGGTGGAATGGGATTACGCCCCGAGCCGGCGGTGGGAGGAGGAGCTGCACCAGCTGCAGGCCCAAAAGTAAGTCAGCCTGCAGACGCTGCTCCTAGCGCTCAGCTGCGTCTCAGGTTCGTTTTCAGAGAGGGATCGAAGGATTGTGCTAACGTTCAGAAAAACAGCTGGGTGGCACGGTAACAGCAAAGCGTCCTGGGCACCATGCTCGCTCCCCGCTGCTCCTCTGTCCACGGATCCCTTGACCCTGAGCAGTCACTTGCCGTGCTGCCTTGCCTGTGGGACTGTCTTCTCATGTCAGGTGCTTCAAGTTTAACCAAAGCTCAGACCCCAATTCAGAGCTGAGCTGTGGTTTCACCACTAACTCTGGCTGGGTCATCTTCCTCTGACACTCTCAGTTTTAGTGTAATGGTCATTCAGAGCCCTAAAATTATTGTGTATGGGAGAATATTTTAAATCCTTGATGGCAGTAGAGCATCAAGTTCCTCCAAGAACTACAGGAAAATGTGGTTTGGAACCACAGGCCCTTGTGGAGAATTAAAAAAGTAAAAAGTAACTTCAGAATGAAGTCAGGACAGGGTGGTCACTGGAGCTCTGAAGACATCTGCAGCTGACACTGCCTGGCGGCCTTTTCCACTTTGCTGGGCACCCTCCCTCGATCATGTCACTCACACCAGGCCCTGACCCTGTGTGGGGACTATCTCAGGGCCCGGGATGAGCAGGTCCAGGGTGTCCAGCACTACTAACCATGGCTAGGCCGTGGCTAGCGGGTTAGTTTGCACTGCTGAGTGTGGTTTGTGGCGTAAAGAAGAAAAGGTTATTTTGGTGATGCTGGTAGGATAGTTGCAAGGCTACATGGGGGCCGCTAAGCATCAATGGAACTTTAGGAGCAGGTCGTGAGCTGGGAAAGGGCCATTGTGTCTCCATTACCCAGAAGTACCGAGGTAGCCAGAGAACTCTTCACTGGCCGCACCTGAGCTCAGAGCACTGCAGAGCTGTCAGCAAACCATACAGAGGATCTGATCCCATACTTCGTCTTCGTGGTGAAGAAACTGAGGCTCCAACAGACAGTGATGAGCTGGAGGCTGTTTGAGCTAGTGCAGTCAGGGCCTCCACTTGGATCGTGAGGTGCGCTTTCTGCTACACCTGTTTTTAAAGTCTTATTTTCGCTGACTGGAATGGAGAATAATTAAAAACTACCATAATTCCTTCAACAAAACTGCATTTCCCTTTAAAATTCAAAACTTGAAATTTAGCTTCCATATTTGTGAAAATGAATACTAATCTGAGTTGTTTTTACTTTTCCCAGTGTTTCAAATGTGTTCTTGGACAAGGGAGAGTTTTTCATAGGCTCAAAGTACAAGAAGGTTGTGTACCGGCAGTACACCGACAGCACGTTCCAAGTCCTGGTGGACAGGGAAGCAGAGGAGCACCTGGGGATTCTGGGTAGGTGAGCTGCTCGTGCCACCAGCTGTGGGACAGCCGTGACACACTTCACCGGGCACCCATGTCTATGGAGTTCATCTTCTTGGGTTATGTATCAAAGTTACTCGAATCAAAAACTCAGCTATTCAGTAACAATGGGAAGCCTGCTTACTAAAGAATATGGAAACGAAACATTGCTTATTTCTATGGGAAATAGTGTATTATCCCATATAGTGATGAAATTCTTTGTATCTGGTGTTTGCCAAATTGTTGCCTACAGTTTGGGTAAAGGTTCTAGGAGCTACTTTCCTCTATCTCCTCCTACCCAAAATGACTACGACAAAGGAACACACACACACACACACAGAGCGATGTACTTCTAAAATGAAGGTGTGAGTAACTGCAAGAAGAAATGTCCATAAAGACGTAAATAAGGGCAAAGCACTACTACCACAGCAGGGGAAAGGGTGCAAGTTTCCAGGAGCCACTTCAAGACACAAGGCCTCACTTGATCAATGCTGGTCTTGGGAATTTTCCTGAAACCATGCAAAGCAGGGGACACCCCCAGATCTTGTATGGCTCCACACTGCCAGAGTCCCCTGGGGCTTGGTTCTCCTCACCCCTAGAGTAAGGCATCCAAGGGAAAATGGCATTGCTGTTGTAACAGGAATTCACCAGACAGCAGGCAGCTATGGTTGGCCAGTGGGTGAACTGGGAGGGTGAGCACTTAGCCCTGTCCTTTCAAATATGATCTGGTCCTAACTTCATGCTCAGTGAGTTCTGGAAGTCCAAACACTGAGAAATGAGAGCAAGTGCTGCAAAACAGCTCCTGGCCAGGGACCAGCTTACCAGGATGAGACCTTGACCCTGCAGGAGACTGGCCAAAGCCTCCCAGAACTCTGGATAAGGATACGCCATGTTCTCCATCTTTACAGGGAGCCGTTTCTAGTGTTCTTATCCTAAATCCTCTGGGACCATATAGGACCGTAAGACCATGCCAGCACAAAGCCACACAACAGAGACTCCAGACTTCACACTAAGACAGATTCGTGGCTTTCGCTTTTCTTACTAAGTTAGAAGTTTCAATCTGGCAGACAAATAAGTCACCCTCTCTTTCATTCTTACCAGGTCAACCAATTCACGCAAATGTTGGAGATAAAGTTAAAATCATCTTTAAAAACAAGGCAACAAGGCCTTATTCAATACACGCCCACGGGGTGAAGACGGAGAGTCCCACTGTTGCTCCAACACTACCAGGTACTCGTGGTGCAGGGTGCATCCTCCAGATGTCACAATGACTGTCACAGAAGCGTTCCTTCCAAATAAGTGTGATGTAGCAGAGAGGAGGGAGGTCGCAGTGGGGGATGCAGGGAAGTGGTCTGCACGAGCAAGACAATCCACAGCAGAGCCGTAAGGAAAACACTCGAGGATGAGTCAGAGAGATGCCCCTCGGCACTCAACTAGAACCCACCCCAGACAGCACTTACCGCACAGGGTGTGGACGAACGTTCATGCCAGCTGCCTCCCATACAGTCTGAGGGCCAGAGGCTGCAGTTTGTTTTCCTGCAGTGTTGGGGATGGAACCTGGGGCCTGGTGCATACTAGGCAAGAACTCTCCCCAGTCCTACCACTTGGGATTTTAATCCCCTGCACTTAGTCCAGTACCTGGTGTGTCCTAGGAGCCCAACAACAAACCTTCCTATAATTATTATAAAGGCAAAAACAGATTATGTGTGTGTATGTTTTCTTTAATAAGAACTGCATTTTTCTTCTATTGGTTGCAAAGTTGGCTCCTAGGAAAAGACCATTTAAAAATAATGGCAGTTCTCAAATATATCAAATGAAAAAAGAGGGCTCTGTAGAATCCCTCTTATAAACCCAGGACGCTAGAAATAAATATCTCTGCCCTCGGCTGGCAGAGTGGCTTGAGTGGTACAGCACCTGCCTAGCAAATGTGAAGCCAAGTTCAAACCCCAGTGCTGCCAAAAACAACCAACCATGAAAACAACCCTGCCCTCACATTCTTCTGAGGGAAGTAAACAAATCTGAAAGAGGTAAACACAGACAGACAGACAGACACACACACATAAAGTAGTGCGCAATGCTGTGACTCAGCAGGGGGAGAAGGTGGCTAAGGCATCATCTTAGGTGGGACAGTCAGGAGAGCTTCTCTGAGGTGACACTGGTGAACGATGAGAATGAAGCTCAGCTAACAGTGGGGGGAGGTTCTAGACCCCCTGGATGGGCACATTTGGTGTGTAAGAAATGGAGCACTGGAGGGAACGCCCAGCACACGAGGAACAGAATGTCAGTAATGGGATTCAGGGAGAGCAGGACCCAGAGGTCACCACTGAGACCTGAGATTCTATTGTGAATGCCTGTGAGAGGACCTCAGCTGAGGAGTCCTATCGATGCTTTTTAAGGGGCCACTGTGGCTGATGTGTGGATAGGTGACTGCGTAGGGGGCCAGGGTAGTACCCAGGATTTACTGCACAGCAATCTGGGTAAAAAAAAAAATCACCAAAACTGTCAAGATCTGGGATAGAACAGAAGCAGCTGAAGTGACGAGAGGTCATCATGTCCTAGTTCTATCTTAAGATGGTGCTAAAAGGACCTGCAGAATATTGGGAACTGGTGAGTCTTGGGGGAATGGAGTCAAGGGTGAGTCCATGGTTTGGGGGCTGACTGAGGGTGGAAAAGCAGTAGAGAAAGAAGTGTGATTTTACAGCTTATGAGAATAGTAGAGATGGAGGCACAGGAATATGCTGGGTAGGGGTGTGCATTGTGTATTGTCAGTGAAATGTCCTGCTTCAAGGACAAGGACTTAGGACAACAAAGAACAAGGACCTAAGGAGAAAGTCCACCGCGTCCCGAGACCAGCCCTCATGCCTTGCTTGGCGCCAGTGAAGGCTGCTTTGGAGTTAAAGGCTGATGGCTTGATGTTTACGTTTCTATGTAACCATGAGGTCTACCTAAGTGCAGTGGGCAGTGAGTGTGGTCAGGGCTGGTGAGTGGACATGCAGCAAAGTCGCCATCTGTGAGCAGTCATCCGGGAAGGCCTGGGGTGAATGGAAACAGAGATGAGATGGAGAAGAACAGAGGCTCATGGGAAGAAGGTGAGGTGTTGGCTGGCAAGGAGGATGGAGCAAACGACCACCTTTGAAATGACAAGGACCAGGGTGTAGTTCTGTCCTGCATGTAACAGAGTGGTGACAGAGCTGCATATAACGTGACAGAATGAGATCAACTAGAGGAGAGGCACACAGAGTTGTGACAAGTCAGTGACCCATGAGACCAAGAATTCATGGCTCCTTACCAGACATATTGGCTTGCTGAGGATTTGGCTAGGAGGAAAGGTGACAGTGAAGTTGAGAGGACCCCGCAGGACGGTCCTGGCACAGAAGCACACACAACCATGGAAGTTGCTGCCATGTGAGGGAAAAATACTTCAAAGTAAGAAAAGATAGGCTTGAAAAGCTTTATGATGTTGGAATGGCCACCTCTGGGCTCTGTGGTATGCAAGTGTACCTTTGGCTAGCTGTTACACACACACACAAAGTTTATCTTAAAACTAGATTCCGCAAAGAATTCTGAGCATGATTAGTGAAAAAACTAATTACCCTTTAGTTGTTGAGTCACTCTTATCAAGGCTGAAATTCCCTGATGGATACAGCACAAAGATACAGAGGTAATGCCTAGTATTAACCAAACATAACCAGATTCATTAACCTGGATTAATCTAGGTGAAGTTCGCACTTACGTATGGCAAATCCCAGAAAGGTCTGGTGCTGGATTGGAGGACTCGGCCTGTATTCCCTGGGTGTACTATTCAACTGTGGACCAAGTGAAGGTAAACTGTAAATCACCTTTGTTTTGTGACAAATCCCAAGAAGGACATACAGTGACAAGAAGACAAAGTGACAGTTTTCCTTTGCTCTGATTCTATGTTAAAATCCCAGGAAAACCAGTGCCCTACAGTCTACTTGGGGGTAGCACACTTGACTTGCTTGCTTTTAAACATCAATTATAACTCCCCTATGCCTGCTGACTACTAATAACAAAGAAATTGCCGATCAATGTAGTATTTTATTTCCTTTTATATGAAAATACATTAAACTCAAAGAACTGAGGTCCATGATTTCATAGCTCTTTATTCACAACAATAAAAAGGCTGATCTCAGAATGGAAGATGTTTGGTAAAATATTTCAAAATCAAAACCTATTTGACCACCACAAATCAGAAGACATACTGAGATCATTCCAGTGAATCAACTCTCTATCCCAACCTCTCTCCTAAATTCCCATCCTCATATTCTACCTCCTAAACACCTAATTCTAAGTTCCCATGGGGCCTTAAACCTCAGCAACCTAAAACGGACATTGTGTCTCCTTCCGCTTCCTTCTCTGTCTCCTGTTGGGGTAAACAGCACGGGTACCAAGTCTACTCACTCGTTAAGCAGGACGTCTGAATTCCCACAGACCTATCTAGTCTGCACCCTCCCTTACCCAGGCATTCACCCACCCGTTCCTCTTCTTCCCATAGTTTAGGTTCTTGTAATTTGCCTCAGCTGCAGTCAGGGCCTCCCAGTCTCCAATCTTTCTTCCTTTGTCAGAATTTCTATGCCAAAATGCCAATTTGCTGCTGTTCTTTGTCAAATTTTTCAGTGGCTACTACGGCGACACACAACACAAAATCTGAAATTCCCTAAGATTACAGAATTTAAAGCCCTTCAAAGCCTAATGTGTCATTACTGACACCCAGCCGACCCCAACTCCTCAGAGTGGGATCAATCGTGCCTTCCTCCTCTGTGCTCAGCCGTCTCTCTGCTGACCCTCTGTCATTTCTCCCATCCCTGTTTTTTCCTATTAGACTGAGTCCCTACAGGGCTTGGTTCCCGCATTTTTGGACAGTGACTGGCTTGGTGCTCGGCTCACACTCACGGGTACATGAGCTTGTGGGGTAAAGAAACCGACACTCTTCACTTGGGTTCCTTTCACACTGTGGTTCATTAGCTAAGTCAACAGGTGGCTTCTACATGTATTTCTCTTCTGCCTCAGCCACATAACCTACACCGACTCAGCTTAACAGCCTCCAGTGCAGTTACTGATCTGGTCGCATCACACCGGGCCAGCAGCCCCTCCAAAGCTGCCGAGATGGTGGCTGTGAGGGCTCTGTCCTCTGAAAACCCTGGCCTACCCTGCATGGATAACTGGGTTTTTATTTCTTTTCAGGATCTTTACAGTGGACTGATCGGCCCGCTGATTGTCTGCCGGAAATATTACATGAAAGTGTTCAATCCGATAAAAAGACTGGAGTTTTTCCTTCTGTTTCTTGTATTTGATGAGAATGAATCTTGGTATTTGGATGACAACATTAAAACATACTCTGCTCACCCTGAGCGAGTCGACAAAGACAATGAAGAATTCATAGAAAGCAACAAAATGCATGGTAGGGGAAACTTCCAGAATCACTTTTCTCTTTCTTACTCTTTTTGCCAATAAAATTTTGCTGGAGACTGTTCACTCTTTTTTTTTAAATTTTTTTTCCTTTTATTATTCATATGTGCATACAAGGCTTGGGTCATTTCTCCCCTCTTCCCCCACCCCCTCCCTTACCACCCACTTCGCCCCCTCTCTCTCCCCCCACCCCCTCAATACCCAGCAGAAACTATTTTGCCCTTATCTCTAATTTTGTTGTAGAGAGAGTATAAGCAATAATAGGAAGGATCAAGGGTTTTTGCTGGTTGAGTTAAGGATAGCTATACAGGGCATTGACTCACATTGATTTCCTGTGCGTGGGTGTTACCTTCTAGGTTAATTCTTTTTGATCTCACCTTTTCTCTAGTTCCTGGTCCCCTTCTCCTATTGGCCTCAGTTGCTTTTAAGGTATCTGCTTTAGTTTCTCTGCGTTTGAACTTCACTTGTGAGGTAGCGTTCTGTTTAATGCACAAAGGGGACTAGCTTTGAAATCATTTGCTAATTTACCTCCCAATCCCAAAATCTCATCCCATTCTAAATATATCCACAATTATGACTAAGGCTTTTGGTATAAAGTGACTAGAAGAGCAGCGTGTGACATGAGTGACCTTAAAAGATCCATTTCCCCCATCTGTAGTGACAGTCTATGGCATCAGTCTACATCAACCTAGAAATCCTATTTTCTGCAAAATAGCTCTTGGTTTAAGACAGCCTAACTGATGTCACGTGTTCTCCCCAGCCATCAACGGGAGAATGTTTGGAAACCTGCAGGGCCTCACCATGCACGTGGGGGATGAGGTCAACTGGTATCTGATGGGCATGGGCAATGAAATAGACCTGCACACAGTGCATTTTCACGGCCACAGCTTCCGGTACAAGGTAAGAGCCACACTCGGCAGTCCTTCCAGCTCTATTTGAATGTGCTTTAAAACCAAGAAAATATTTCCTCAGAGACATTCATGGAAAGTTGAACGTTTCAAAGAGTAGAGGCCACGCAATGTCCACTGACACACCAGCTTTTCTTACACCTCGGGCTCCTCCTTGGGTTTGTAGGTTTTTGTGCACTTTCTGAGTAAGGTGTCTGAGTGGAACAGCATTGCTAGCAGAAAGGGTAGTAGTGTTTGTGTGAGGAACCAGAGAGCAGAGATCAGTGGACTTTGCTGTAACCCTGCCTCTGTCTGCTCTAAGTTCTGCATCTCAAATGGCCTGAGGCGAAAAGGACCATCAGGGTCAAACAACTGCCATCCCTAAATCTCAGTCCTCCCCTAACCAGTGAAAGCCCATGGCCCTCTGGAGATGCTTTTCCCTTACCTTCTGCAGAACACACAGAAACTACTGGAGCAGCAGGCTGTACAAAGTCCTTCTCCTAACATGGACATCACGCTGTTATCACAAGTGGACTTTCTATTCCATCTCTGCAGAGAAACACCCAGCTCCTGTCCCGGGTGGACCCTTGCCTGCACTGCTGCTGGCTTCTGGCTTCTCCCTTTCTTCATTACTGTCTTTGCCCTCTGGTTTCACTACGAGAATACAGGACAGGTTCAAGCAAAGGGGGTTCAGGCTGAAGTGGACCACAGTCTGTGACAGAGGCAAGCCAGAGCTTGGTGTGGGATACCACAGTCCCGCCTCTATTCCCTCTCACACCTTTCTTCCTTTATGCCCACTCGATGAGTCACAGCACCCAGGCCTTAGTGGGAATACAAAGACCATGTATCTCACAGGAAGGTGCAGGTGCTCATTTTTGTAAAACAAAACAGATTTATCTGTTTTTCTAATAGCTTGAGCTGGCCAATGAAAGATGATGGAGCAAACACTCACATGTATCACGTCTATCATTTTTCCAATCAAGCACAGGGGACTTTATAGCTCGGATGTCTTTGACATTTTCCCTGGGACATACCAAACCCTAGAGATGTCTCCAAAAACACCTGGAATCTGGCTACTCCACTGTCACGTGACTGACCACGTCCATGCTGGGATGGAAACCACCTACACCGTGCTACCAAACAAAGGTGAATATCCAGGGAGTAATTCTGCAAGTCACATATCATGAATGTGTAAGATGCTGTTTTGTCTAAATACATCCCCCAGTGGGAAAAGCACTTGAGAATCTGCTACCCTACTCCCTGTCTACCTTGCATGTGGGCAGGGCTCACTTCTCAATGGTCCGCAATTACAACAGCACAGCAGGCTTTCTGCTGGCACAAGCTGACACCAATGTGATACAGTGTAACTGTGCCTAAACTGATGGAAGGGAGTAGTACCAAGAAATAGACCACAACTTAGGAAACACAGTTTAAGAATCCACTTTCTTTCTCAACACAAGGTGCTACCTTATCCAAGACAACCCCAAATAACCAGTCAGGCTTTCTGTGCTTGCAAAGAGACAGGAGGGCACTAGTGATTACTGTTTGTGAAACATCCACAGGTCCAAGTACAAGGGTACACACATGCACAGACACTTCCACACACGTGTGAAAACAAGCAGCCTTTCTGTGGATACACACCAACAAAACAGAGTGAAATCCCTGCTTTGTGGTTGTAGGCTTTGTTCTCTCTTAGGTCTTCTGAGTCCAGAACTGCTGGACTTGCAAATGGCAAATCTAACTGGAGATTATATCCAGAATGTCTCTCACTGCTTCCTCCTTAAAATGAGGGTAAAAGGGAACATATAAGTGGAACAAAATACAGACATAAATATATTTTGTGTATGCAGCTGGTGATGGATCCCAGGTCTTTGCAGGTGCTAAGCAGGTGCTAAGCAGGTACTCTAACCTGACCTATAACCCTTGGAAATGTATTCCAAGGTTAAAAATCACTGGATTAATCCTAGTGCCAAGTGAACTTTTAGTTTCTACTCCTGCGTTCTACACTAAAGCCTTCTTTCATGGACAACTATGTCCACTAAAGCCCTTTTTAGTACCAAGAGAGGTCACTGATAATACAAGAGCATCCAAGACCACAAAAGCAAATAAACCACTGGGTCTAATGCCTGTAACTTGAGCAAGATGAAAAGAGCTGAAGAGGCTGAGGGAAAATGAAACAGAACTAGCAACAGTCTTAAAGAACATGAGTTGCATATAAGCTACAGAAAAGGATGACCCTGCACAGACAAATAATGGAGTAAGGGAATGGGGGCACTTAGAGACCTCGTGTACAAACGCCTGGCAGGCAGAAGCTGCTGCCACAGCCAATGTCCGCTTCCCCCCCCCCCCCGCCCCAACAAACCTGGGAGAGAGGGGGGAGGGAGGAAAGGAGGGAGAGAGGCAGGGAGGGAGGACGAACTGCCTGGGTAAGGAAGGGGAGATTGTTTTCAAAGCTGCAGAGGAAACCATAGAGCAAACAGCAAGTGTGAAGGGAAAAGTACAGTGTAATGACTTTTACAAAGAGAAAAGGTGTTACATAGGATTAAAAGCAGCAGTAATGAACAAGAGACAGTTTGAACTACACACATGGAAAAATGGGGAGCCATGTTATCCGTCTGAATTACCTTTATATCAAAGTTTAATGAAGCGCTGGGGAAATCTACATTAATCCTGAATCTCAGAAAAGCTTCTGCCTACCACAACACAGAGCACAAGAGGCTAGAGTTATGATCTTTGACACTGTGCCCCAGGAGACAATCATCTCCACAAAGCAAAACAAAAGCAAACCATCAGCACAGAGGTGGGCATCCTGCCGTGCTTCACGTACTGCCCAGAAGCAGCACGCAAAGACTTCCTCTGATAAACGCAAATGGTTCCTTCTCAAGACCATGGCTTCTCTACACCGTTAGAAAACCTCCCATGCAGACTTCGGGAGGAACGCTGGTGCAAATGTCTCATAGGCAGGGCTGGTGCACCTGGCTTTCCAGCAAATCTAATACGATTCTGTGGTGAAGAGGTAAGAACATATTAATTCAACAAAGTGGATTCGGAAAAAGGAAACAAAACTCTCTGCACATAACTGCAGACAGAAAAGGCTGCAGGAGGGAACAAAGATTCTCAAATGCCTCATCCGAATCCCCCGAACGTCACCCTCCTTTCCCCTCGAGTGCACACAAACCTGTCTCTGTGTGTAAATATATACACCTGTATTTCCGAAAAATACGAATATTTCTGCGCATACCACCATCATCAAGACCAAGAAGGTTTTAACAATGACTGACAACTACACGTCTTTTTCAGATTTCACCAATCCTGCTCTTTACAAAAGAAAACCCGGGACCGTGCACTGTACTGCTGGGTCCTCTCTGACATTTCCCTGGGTCTGTCTTTCTCATCCTTGACGCTGAACACAGGACAGCTGCTCAGTAGAACACCCTTCTGTTTGAGTTTGTCTAGCGTTTCCATGGTCAGGTTGAGGGTACACACTGTTGGCAAGACTATTGCAGAAGCGAGGTGCTTTTCTTATCGGGCCCACGTCAGGATGCACGACACACTGATCTGCTCCATCATGGCTTAACACTGAGTTTCTGCTGAAGGTGGTGCCTGCCAGGTTTCTCCACTGAAAACTTCCTGTTCCCATTTATAATCAATAAAAATCTTGTAGGGAGGAAGATAGTTGTATTTAATTCAAGTAGTAGCAGAATGGGAGCTTTTTAAACATATGAAAAGTAGAAAAACGTAGAATGATTAAACAAGTAACATTTTATGGTTTACAACACATTTAAAGCACTGTCTACTAATTTTTACTCTTTTAAATAATCATCTTAAAACTTCTTTTTTTAGCCAAGCGCCAGGGGCCCACGCCTGTTAATCCTAGCTACTGAGGAGGCAGAGATCAGGAGGATCGCAGTCAAAGCCAGTCCACGCAAATAATTCACGAGAGCCGATCTTGAAAACACCAACCACAATAACGGGCTGGGGGAGTGGCTCAAGTGGTAGAGTGCCTGCCTAGTAAGTGTGGGGCCATGAGTTCAAACCCTGGTACCTCCAAGAAAAATAAAGAAATTTTCTTTAGAGAACAAATCTGGCTGAAAGAAATTAGTGATAAGTGGGAAAAAAAGAGATAAAACAATGATTCATAACAATGTATCTGACACTACTGAATTAACAGTGACTTTGGAATGGGTGTAACTTTTTAAAAAGACTAAAACTATGCAACTCTGCATTTGTGGGGTAATGATGTTCCTGGATGTAGACAGGAAGAGAAGAAGTGTCATGACTGACACTCACAGTGGGTAAAGTGGATTAACCCACATGGGCCACTCACACCACCAATAGTGCTTCACAAAACTGCATTAGAAAACAGCCGTGAGCAGATGTTGTTCTGAGTGGTCCTCACAGGGTCACTAGTGAAGGTCACTGAATGTCACCAACTATGGCCTTCCTTTCACCCCTCCAATACACTGCTGACATCATTCCTAACAAAGCAGGGGTGGGGGTGCAAGGTGTGGACATAAGAAACAAAAACAAAAGAGAAAGGTGCCAATCTGAGCTTTGCTGAACCTCAAGAGAGTGGTCAAAGGATGTTATCTGGAATGGAAGAAGGGCAACTGAGAAACAATGCTTACAGTAAATCCCAGCAAAAACACAATTAAGATAATAAAGTAATAACTTCAGAAACTGCCATGGGTAAGACTTCAAAACCCAGCTGCTCAGACACTGGGCATGTACAAGTTTTGCCCACCTAAGCCAGGTTGAACGGACACTACCAGTGACTCAGACTCAATGTTCCTTAGCGAGAGGTTACAGAAAAGACTGTTGTGAGTATCATGATGTAGTTCTTTATTTTTGCACACACTCTGGCTGAAAGAGTAAGAGTACATGTTAATAAAAAACAGAAACAAGCCTGACGCCGCTGGCTCACGCCTGTAATCCTAGCTACTGAGGCAGCAGAGATCAGGAGGATCGTGGTTCAAAGTCAGCCCAGGCAAAAAGTTCATGAGACTCTATCTCAAAATCCCTTCACAAAAAAGGGTTGGTGGAGTGTCTCCAGAGGTAGAGTGTCTCTTTGTAGTAAGCATGAGGCCCTGAGTTCAAACCCCAGTTCAGCCAAAAAAAACTGGCTGAAAAAAAAAAAATGCACTCAGCACATCCTACTAACAGCCAGACAAGAAATCAACTGTGTAAATTTCTCCTTCATTTGATTCAGAGAGAAACATAGATGAGTTTTAAAAGTAACAAGAAAATAAAGTTTGAAATCTCTTACTGTAGCAGAACATTTATATCTTTCTTGAAGAGATTAAAAAAAAAACCAGGAAGATAAACTCTGGACCCCTTAAGAGTGACATCTGACACACTTGCTGTTTCCTTGAAGTGTTCCTGGGATGGAAAAGACTGTCATGTCTTCAAGAGCTCTGAGTGGACGTTGTTCCTTAGAGCAACACTCAGCGTCCACCTTCAGAAACATGGCGCTTCTCTGAAGAATTCTCACATCCTGACAATTTTCATTCTGGACAACTGAATGGATATGAATATAAATTAAGGAAGTCACCACCGCATGGTACAGGAAGGTCTCGAAGGCTTCTGTGACACACACACTGCACAGAATTCCTTGGCTTGAGTGTTTACAGTTTGTCTCTATGCTACTGTGGCACTGTTCAAATGACACCTTCAAGTCAGTGACTTCTTTCTGCTGCAGTAAAGAAGATAGGGCAAGAAAAACGCTGCAGTGCCGTCCTCTGGGAGAGCGCTCAGGAAATCCCTCAGCTCCAGCTCCACAGCAACAACCGACAGTGTTTCTGTTGGCAGGAGAGAGTGCCTGTGTGAGAACTCCATCTGCTCTCGTCTGGTTTTCTTTTAAGTCACACAACTGAACAGAGGCCACTTTACGTGCACTGCAATCACTCACTCAGGCTCTTTGTCACCAGGCCAACAATTAACTAGCAATATCTGCACCCAACAGTACAGAAAACGGAAACTACTGAGATTGATGAATGACAGTTCAGGAATTATGGAATGTGAGTAACTGCCTATGACGTGAAAAACATAGTCTACAAACTTGTGACTTTGGAATCCTTGACGAACTTCTCAGTCTTCAGCACTTATAATTACACTTAATAATCTTAACTTCCACCTAAAGCAAATTAAAAAGATGTAATTGTCTTAATGTCTACACAAATTTTTAAATTATTGAGCTGATGAGTTTCTGACTGTCAAGTGTTTGAAAACATTAACTTACAAAAACATTGTTCTGAGAGGAGGAGAGGTAAGGAGGGGCCCAAGCCCTCTCTGGGTGCCTCAAGCCCTCTCCAGCTCACCTGACGTCATGAAGAAAAGTACAGAGGTCCAGGCTGCAACACACATATATAATTAAAATGAGAAGATGTAATCAACCAAAAAAGAAAGATGTACCTTTCAGTGCTGACAGGTAGAGCTGATACTTCTCTCCACCACACCTGATTCTCTGACAAAGTTGAGGCAACAGCATTTTCCACCACAGAGGCTATCTTAGGAAAAGTAATGCGTGCATTTCAGTCTGGTGCATTTGCACTGGGACTTTCCAATGAGAGTAAGAAGGCCGTGCAGAAACACACAGGGCCAAAGCACATCATGTGGGCAGGGGTCTCGGCCCGTTACCACGGAAGCTATGTTGGCAGCTAGCCTTCTGTCTACATTGGAACAAAAGCCAGGTTTGTGGCTTGAAATGTATACACACACGGCTAATTCCAAGAAGAAATACGGATACAGATGTGCTTTCATTACTGTAGTAGCATGGAGAAGTGCTATAGGCTAAAACTGCTCTCATTTCTAAATATCAAATGACTAAGAAAACGTTTTCCCACCATGGCATGCTGCTTTCCAAAGCCTCAGTAATCACCTAGTTCATCTATAAGCAAGAGCTGTCACGATGATGACACACCATCCCCACCACCATGCTTTAACAGCATCTGACAGTAAGTACTCAAAGCCTATGGTTCACAGGCCCCACAGCCCTGTCACACTGGACTAAACTGTCCCAGGTCTGCAAATGAGATAAGATTGTGGACCCAACGGCCACTGGTCATGCCCAGAGCAACCCGCAAAGCTTACCCGGCTCTCCTCTTTCAGCTGGTGATTTGCATAAGGGATGACAGCCTCCGGGCATCGCTCCAGCAGGGTATCTATGCACTGTTCATACTCTTTCAAGAGTGTCCGACAGAGAACGTGGACGCTGAGGCCAGCAACGGTGTCTTCTGAGAGTGAATCCAAGAATGGCACAATGGAGGCTATGTCAAATGAAGGGCCACACATAAGAGACTACAAACAGAAAAGTGAAATGTTATGGAATGAAGGCATCCAAAAATCCAGAGACAACACAGAGCACCCAGGTCTTTAAAAAGACCAACGCTCACTCGCTAGCAAAGGAAAAAGGAGAATGTCATTTTAGAGCACACACAAAGCACTAAGTCATCCTGAATCCACCCACAGCTTAAAGAAATAAAGAATAGAAAACAATCACTTTAAATATCATCATTTGATTTGCTACGGACAGATAAACTATAAATTACAACGAATGGGAATTCTTTCGGTCTCTACAAATCAACATGTGGTCAAAGGGTTATGTCCAGTGAGGCTCAACACAAGGGAAGTCATAGCACTGAAAATCCTAAGCAACTAAGTACTCGACAGTAAGGAAGGAGTTAGGTAATTTATGGTCCACTCACATGATGAAACACGGCACCAAGAGAATCACATTTTCAAAGGATGCTTAAGGAGAAGACACTTTTGTTAACAGGACGAGCATGAAAACTCTGGGAGAGAGACCACTGCACTTTGAAGCAGGTCAACTCCCGGAACACAAGGACAAAGCCCACTTTGTACTGTCTTTTCACACTGCCCTATGTTTCCAAATTTTCAATAATGAGCATACACCACATATACAACCAAGAATAAAATTTAACATTAAAAAATAAAGTGAGTAGAAGCTGATTGTTTCTATCAATAGCATTTGCCACAAGCTTACTGACAGGGACCAGGTATCATTTCAGTATTCAGAATTTCACTAGTATTTTACCTTGAAGCACTTCACCAGTATTTTGCTTTTACTATACGTAGTATTTCTGACTCTACCATCAAAATAATCTCTATCCTCCCCTTTCTCCTGAAAGAGATTCATTTTGATTTCCCCTGTATCTTTTTTGCTACAGCATCTTCTTGGACCTACAGGAGGCCATGGAGCTTTAACTACTCAATCTCACTCAGTGTGATTATTTTATTCCAAATATCTACCAAGGAATGGCCAGGAAGATAAGGTTGGTGTCTTTTCTTCCTGCAAGTGTAAAAATTATTCATCTGAATCACTTCCTGGCAGTTAAGATCAAAGATGAAATGGGTGACAGTCTCCCACTCACAGGATCTCCCAACCTGGAAGTCCACGAATCAGTCCTTGATTGAGTGGGATAAGGTGGGGTGGGCAGGAGCCAAGTGGCGGTGCCAAACCATGGCAAAAACAATAGTCAAAACTTGGTACAAAATGGGTTACTCGTTAACTTTCACCTGGCTTTACCCATAAAAGTAAGCACAATAGTTACAACACACCAATCAGTATGCTACCACTGGGTTAGAAAGGGCCCGATCTCAGGAGGCAGAGATCAGGAGGATCATGGTTCCAAGTCAGCCTTGGCAAACAGATGGCAAGACGCTGTCTAGGAAAATTCCCAACACAAAACAGGGCTGGTAGAGTGCTTGCTTAGCAAGCGTGAGACCTTGAGTTCAAATCCAGTACTGCCAAAAGAAAAAGGAAGTACTTTTAAATGGGCCTCAATTCCACTTTTCAAACAGAAATTATAGATGTGTGATTCTGAGTCACCTGCTAATGTACTCAGGGCCCAGGCCATCCTGCGTGAACAGGCCACGCTTAAGTGATGTTTTCCAAATGAACAGATCTGAGGCCGAGCTGCAGGAGCAAGAAGTCTCTATAACAAGGACACTAGAGACAACAAGGGCCTCTTTGGTGATTGATTTGGGGGCAGGGTCTCACTCTGTAGCCCAGGCTGGCCTCAAGCTCATGATTCTCTTGCCTCACTCAGCCTTCCCAGTGCTGGGGTTATAGGTGTGCACTGCCAGGTCTGCCACTGCAGTGATTTGTGAAGAATGTAAGTAACTCCATTTCTGGGGACCACACCATCCTGTCTGGAGGCTAAGTCTAAGCAACATGGCCTCCAGTTTGTTGTTTGGTTCTATTGGCAATTGCCATGCTTACACCAACTCCCAAAGTTTAAATCAGGATCATAAACTCAAAAGCCAAACAAAAGGGGCCAAACGAAAGTGAAACCACCTAAGGGCAGCTGGGTATAAGGACAACAGACATGAAACGTATGCATCTGGGGCAGCGGAGTGTCCTGACAGAACAGCATGGGCCCTGCTCCAACCCTTAACTCACAGCTGCAGAAGCCACTCGAGTCCTGGGTGACCAGTGCCGCAGAAGTTCTCAGGCTCAGAATTCTTAACACAGAATCAACCTTCATCTGTTGCAGCTACACTGGGCAGGCCAATGAGCTACCTGAAACTCAATGGTATGCACACCCAGCTGGGCCTAACGAACCAAGTCAAAGTCAGGCTACATTCCTCACTGCCAGTGCAATCCCTGAGGTCAGAACCCTCCAGGATGAACAAGACTCCAATCATGCCCCATTATTTCTGGAAAACCTTTCAGGAGCAAGATAAGCTGGCCACTCTGACCCACGCTCTGTAAGACAGATGGTAGTGGTTGGCTTGGGATAGAAGGAAAAAAAATTAAAAAAAAAAGTGGGTTACATCAATAAAAGCACGACTACACATCTGCCACACTCACCTTGCAAATGAGGACAGCTGTCTGAGCTGGCATTAGTGCAGCCTCTCAGCTCAGTCCCCCATCAGCAGTTCCAGACAGAGGCAGATGCTCCCACCACAGCCCTGTGTGCACCTCTCTGCAGATCTTGTCCCAAAAATGCTAAATTCTGGATTAACAGAACCCTTGATGTCTTACCAAAGTTAAACCTTATACTGTATTATAATGTACATATTCAAAAGACAAACAGGCGTTTTTATTTACCTGTAACTTTGAAAGATCTTCCATGTAATTTTTATCCAGTAAGAAATCAGATGATATCAAGATATGAACCCAGGGATAGATTAAGCCATAATGACTACAGGTATTTATCTGGAACATAAAGGAAAATTGTCATAAACAAAATACAGCATCAAAAAACAAACAAAAACCCTTCTTGATCCATTCACAAAAAGAAATCCTCCCTATCTCTGCCACGTCACGCTTGGTTTGCTCTCAGGGAATGGAAAGGCTGCTGGAATCCACTTCAGCCTTATCATCAGCACTGTTTCCTTGTATTTAAATTTTTAAATACTCTACAGAGGTACTTTCTAGCAAAATCAGCATTTCTGCTTCTGAGACAATTACACTCAAAAAGAGTAGACAGTAACGTCTCCAGGTAATTTTTATCTATGTTACTTTATTTGGGAAGCAAACTACTTCCCAGGGAGTTCCCCTTATTCAAGAAGTTGGTGACTTTTTCAGTTAACCCACTTTTGCCATGGCATCCGTGAGGGCCAATGGGGTTGGAAGAGGAGAGCAAAGAAGGGTAGGGAGAGTCCTCATGGCTGCCCAGCAATAGGACGCAGGCCACCGAGGCAGCCTCCCTCATGCAGGCCTTCTGAAGCGGCTCTCAGGGGACACTGTGGGTCTCTTCTCTCATGTTCCACTTAGTGACCCTCTGCCGAGGAGGCACAGACATGGTGGGGCTCTGGGAAAGCCGGCTGCCACACTGATTTAAATACTGAGGACTCTTAGCGAGTGACACAGGAACACTAGGAGGACACAACAATGATTTTCAACATGGGTAACTTCTGCATTTTAACTCAAGATTAAACACCTGGTGATAGGAAGCAAGGCTGAGTCTAAGCTGTAAAACCAGGAGACAGATGACTGCTGTATGTAAGCATGAGCTTAGGTTAAGGTGCCTTGCTGTAATCTTACCAGATCTTCTGCTGAGCGCAGGGGTGGCGTGTCAGGAGGCTGCCTCTGGGACAATCTCCAGATGTACTGTAATGTGAGCTTGAAAAACAGCTCTTGAAGTACCACATCTGGGAGACAGGCCACCAGCTGAGCTTCCCAGAAGTCCAGTAGGAGCTGAGGAATCTTGTCTTCACCGTGACCACACAGCATCTGGAACACAGTGAAACAAGTCCTGGATCTCAGATATAATGCAGCTCTGCTCAGGTTATGGCTGGGCTGAATGAACATCACACTGTCACATGAGCCATGCAGTGACCAACTCTTACCAATGGGGAGGTGCCATGGCAAGAGCAGCTCGACATGCTAACAAGAAACAGATCCGAGGTTGCATGAATGCATGCTCTCCAGAAATAGTCTTTCAACCTGTACTTTTCTGGCCTAAACCAGTGTGTGAAGTCCACTTTCTTCAAGAAACAAATAAAAAACTCACTTTTCTTATTCTTCTGATCCCTCTTCTCCATCAGTTTTGGGGTTTTTGTTTGTTTTTTTTTTTTTTGGTGAGACTGGGGTTTGAACTTGGGGCTTTGTGCCTGCAAAGAAGGCAGGCACTCTCCCCTTGAGTCACACCTCCAGTCCATTTTGCTCTGATTATTTTGGAGATGGGGGTCTCTCAAACTATTTACCTGGGGTGGCATCACCTTAACCCTTCCAATCAGAGCCTCTCAAGTAGCTGGGATTACAGGAGTGAGCCACCATGCCTCCTCCATCAATTTTTTATAAAGCCATTCAGAAAAGTTACATTTTCAACATGACGAACCTTAAAGAAAGAATCTGCTTCTTCAATTCCAATTTTGCTGTTCTTCTGCAAGCCCAGGACTGAAGCAACCAGCAATCCAGGCTGAGCCTCCTTCAAGTGCACTGCAAACTCGGTTGGAACAAGCTGTCCCTTCTTCTGTTGGATCAACAGCCGAGGTTCCAGGATGAAGCCACAGACCAACTTCATCTTCAGATTAAGAGAGAACTTTAGGAAGAGTGTACAGTACATTGACATTGTCCACCTCCCACTTGTGATGTGGGGGAGCTGTTAATAATCTACTTTAGTTACAATTTTTCCTCACCTGTGAAGACCAGCTCCTATCCCGTTAGCGATCTTATGTAAGCTATTAATAATATATAAACAGTGAAACTTTCAATTTTGTGGACAGCTTTATATTTAGGCCTACTTCATTTGAAAAATGTATCTTAAGGTTTTTCCAAATTATGGAAAGAAAACTCTTCTTTTATTTTTTAGAATTCCACTCTTCAGAGCAGAAGATGCCCTGTGTTGACCTGTTCTCATCATGACAAGCCAGTCACTGGTACAGTGATAAGCACTTCTGCTCTTCTTGTTGTACAAAGCAAAGTCACACCGGAGGCATCTGACATGACACTGACGGCAACAATGCCCGGGGAGGTGCACCAGTTCCAGGTCAGGCTGCCTGGCTCGGTCCTGCCTCTACCACTAACCAACTGTGTGGTAACAGACTGGTTAGTTCAGCTCTGAGTCTCCACTGTCTCACATGTAGAATAGCTACACTGCACAGCATTGTTTTAAGAATTAAATGAGGTAACATATGCAAGGGGCTTAGAATAGCTCAATTAACATTGCCTCCAATTGTCTTCCCTTAAATGCAACATCTTTGGTTCATGACCTTAAGTGACCTTTCCTCCTCTGATACACCATTCAACTGTCCAATCCTCCACAAAAGTCACCTGTGATTTTCCCAGGTGGAGGCTGTTTTTTCACATCCTAGACTAGCACCCCCTGGCTGTTCTGACATGGCATCACTCTGTTCTGCCTTCAGAAAGCATGCCAATCTCTCAGGCTCCCTCTGCACAGAGCCTGTACGTCATCAGCAGCAAGCACAGTGCTCTGAGTGTCCCCGGCACTAAGCTGGGAGACAGCCAAAGGGATGTCTGCCACTGACATTTACCAGGCTTATTTCTTTCTCATTTGTCAAATGCAAAGTCTGACTGGGATCACTTCCCTTCTAATAGTAAGTGTTTTGCATTACAACAGAGCTAGAAAGAAGTCACAAGGCTGGGCACCTCAGGACCATCACACCTTGCTCAGCCTGCTGTCAATATCAGGCTGGGCACCGTACCTCTGAATGGCTTTGCATTTCCTTTCTATGCATGTCAAGGTCTCCCAGTTTCAGAGCCATTGCTGCCTTGGTTAAGGTCACTAGGATGGAGGAAAGTCCACAGGTGTCCAGACTCCTCAGGTAGCTCAAGGCAAGTGAAGGATCAGTATGCTTCATAGAAGGGCTGCAGAGGACATGGGGCAGCTGCTTTGGCTCAGCCGCGTGGAACAGCTGAGCCACTCTTGCTGCCAATTCCTTTGACGAGTATAAGCAAAGAACAAAAGATCAGTCAGTCAACAGAGAGCAATAAAATCAGCAAAAAAAGAGTGTGTTTGTGTGTACACAGCCAGGATACAAACACTGCAAATAAGATAAAATTATAGATTTCGGGTTTTTTTGGTACTGGGGATAAAATCCAGGGCCTGTGTGGGCTAGGCAAACTAGCATTATGTTTTGATTCAGAAACACGGTTGACACAGGTACATGGGAAACCTGAGATGACGGCAAGTGACCTCTTTGCTGAGTGACGATGAAGCAGCAGCAGTGAGACTGTGACCAACATCTCTAACACTTTAGCAGAAGAAAATAAGTACTTCATTAAATTGTATGGAAACGTCTTCAGTTAAAAACCACAACTCAGTCCGAAACATACCCAGTGAGGTAATTTACTTGAGAACATTTCACTTCTCTCAGAACGTCTGGTAGTCCAGCAACATTTAAAGTACAAGAGGGGCGAAAACGATCCTTACTAGTATATCTCATGGTCGCTCGCCCAGGCTTTTCCTAACTGAAGTTCAGACGTGGTGAAGGGGCAGCTCGGGCTGCAGGGACCACAGTGAGCAGCAGAGGCCAGGCCCACATTCTGTGTCACCCCAGCAGCCACACTCTTTATCCCGGGCAGGCTCCTCGGCCACAGTGACCACCTGAGTGACCAGGAAGCGTGAGAGGATGACCTTAACTGTTCTGTAAGCTACGGCTCTATGGCCACCGCTACAGAAAAGACAGTTTTCCAGGAAAAGAAGAGAATACTTAGAACTTGGTTTTTAAATGCTGTTTAAAATCACTAAAACGAAAGGTTAAAACATTTGCTGTAACTGCAGAAAACTCTACTCACCTCGCTTAGTTCTTCATCTAGGTTTTCGTACAGTGAATGATTGATATAAAAGATCAATCCCCGTTCATATTTCTGTGACTCATGATCTACCGCCCAGTCGACACGGGCCAAAACTTCAGTCAGGGACAAGTCAGACATCTTATAGTAGGGCAGAGCAAGGTGGGAATGCTGTGTGTCGAGCCTAAGGGAGGGAAATAAAAGCCCTCAGATGCATCATTTTTGAGACTGACACTCAAGACATTCAATAATAAAACAGAGCGTGCTTTCCAAAGACATAAATCCTGTCATTAGTAATCAGAACAAACCTGTAAGATTTATTTTAGAAGTCTTTCTAATTAGTGCAGCTTTTTCTTGCTCATAATAAAAAGGGGAAAACATTCACTAAATGAACTTAAATATTCATGATGTGCCTCTAGTGTTTATCAGTAGGAAAAGTCTGTCTCATTAATTCGTGATCATCCGCATGGGTCAAGTAAGTCTCTGAAACAATCAAATAGGGAAAATCTGTAGCAGCATTCTCAGAACTGGAAGTCCTGCTCTCCCACGAGCGCCTGTCTGACATCGTAAGGCACTGACTGCTGAGATGATATCACAGACTGTCCGACTGATACCTCAGTCAAGGCAAACAGACGATATACAAGCAACAGGGCTGTCACAGGGAGATCACTATCACAGACCAAATACGTCTGAAAAGAGCTTCACATTCCTAAGGGAAGTAGTGGGAGAGTCACAATGTGAGACTTACCGATCTTCCAACAAACTGGCTCTTTCCAGACAGGGTGGGTCATGTTCGTCATGGCTTCTGTAAGCCTAGCAAGTACCTGGCACAGTCTGTGCTCAACAAATGCTTGTGAAGCAAGTGGAAAATGAACCAGTCCCTTCGCTGCCAGAGATGTAAACACAGACAGGCTTCTGTGTGAGGTTCGCGGGCAGCACTGACCTGCTGTAACAGTCTCCCAGGTGCCCGCAGCTCTCCTTAAACGCCTCCATGAGCTCGGCCCTCTCTCCAGGCTCCAGCTGCTGGGCGTCCATCAGAGCAGCTCTGAGCAGCAGGTGCGCCTCGCTGAGAAGGTGGATGCAGCTCTGTGTCTTCACAGTCTTGTAGATGTCACTGTACTCCACCTAGGCAAGAGCACAAGAAAGACTCCAGAGTCCCCTGGTTCCTCAGAATGGCCACATGCCTTGTTAAGTGTTAATACTGGGGCACATTAAATACTGAAAGTGTTCCTGTCATTTGCTAGGGCCTCTCCTGGGTGTTTCCCTTCTGCACAATCTGTGGGTCACTCTAATGCACCCATGATTATAAACATTACTTTGTTAAACAGCTTTGCGCATACTGCAATATTAGTAACACAGTCAGCAGTAATTTGATCCCAGCTTCGCAAAGCTGGTGAACATGTTTGAAATGGTTAACTTTAAAGAAAAGTTCTGTGATGTGACTCACTCAGTTAAGATGAGTATCCTTCCCTGAGTTCGAACTGGTGAGCTTAGGCTCCACCACATCTGTAAGTCGCCGTGAATAAAAAAGCTGAGACAAAGCTGATATGATCGTCAGCATTAAAACACCAGGAACGAATCAGGCAACACTTAAACCTGATTCCGCTAAGGCTCAAAGTTAGAGGCTGTTTGAGTTTGGCCTGGCATACTGAGCCTCTGAGGAGGGAGTATGAATGGGGGAGTCTTGACTCAAATGTCAGAGGTGGAAAACGGGATGATGAGGAAGCCCCCACTGCCCTGTCACAGCTATGGCTGTGACATCCCAATGCATGACAATCACAGTCAACTTTACTCTGAACTTCTGCAAACAAGGACCACAAGTCTGAAAAAAGTACCATTTCTTTGTAGAGCTGCACAGGTGAGATGGTATTCACAATATACAAATTCCACCCAGCCTCGGCTACTGAGGGCATTCTGATCTTAACACTGGTATCTTTTCTAGAACTAGAAGCAAAACAAACGGTAAGAACTGCAAGATAAGACATACTGTTAATGAACTGCAGCTTTAATAACAAGTAACATCACGACATGACTTTCACTTACTCACTGTACAATCGCTTTCACACCCCTACGCCTACAGCACTTAGTGTTCTGTAATGACCACATATTGATATGTCAACTGCTTCCAATTCACTCTACAAGTGAATTTTTGAGCAATGAGCTCAAAAAATGGGCAACGCCCTGGTGGGCTCTGGACATCTCTCTCTGGGCATGGGGTCTTTCTGAGTACAGCAAGCTCTGTACCACAAATCTAAGCAGAAAGCACATGCAAAACACTCAGGTGCTGGGAAAACACAGAAGCCTGGATGTCTGCCCAAAGCACTACTTCATCTCTTGCTTTATCTGTGATGCATTTTCTTTAGTGTAAAATCTGGAAATTTTTGATCAAATGAATTTTCAAATAAAGTCATGATTTTAAAAATCATCTGAAAATACAAGGCCTTTAAAATGTCAAATATGAAGACTTCAACTTGTTTTCCTCTCACCAGAAAGCTTTTTAGGATCAGTCTCAGACCACCAGTCTACTCAAGTTACTCAACTACCTCTCGCTCTTGAGGGTGGGAACAAGGCACAGCACAATTCAAAAAAGCAAAAACTTATGTAAAAAGTAAAAACTTAAGATGAGTTTAAGTGTTACATGACTGGTAATCCCAACACTCAGGAGGCTGAGGCAGGAGGATTGTGAATTGGAGGACAGTCTGGGCTGCAAGGTGAAACCTTGTCTCAAAAGGAAAAAAAAAAGGGAAAACCTGTACTGTAGACATGAAATACACTACATGCTTCTCTCCCAGAGTTCTATTGTGATTACATTTTCCTAGAGCACGGTTCCAGTTAGATTATACTAAGTTCACAGTACAGGAATCATGGGATGGAAGCATTTCAGAAGAATTAACATCCTGCCAAACAATGTGAGGTCAGAAAGCCTAAGAGCTATGGCAGAGATGGGTTTTGTTTTAAGGTAGCTCACAGACATGCTCTGAAGACAGACACACATTATCAGTGATTTCCTTTGCAATACCAGGAAACAACCTTTGGATAAAATTGCAGTACTGAGATTAGAGAAGCAAAGTACTGAAAAGTGTTTAGCACAGGTGGGTACTCCAGGATCCTTCCTATTTACTGCACAAAAAAGCTTGCACTACCCCCCCCATTGTTATCTAAATTACCACTGATCTGTACTGAAACCATTCTGTAACTCATTTGCTCCTAAAAGTTCCATGGCCAATTGTAAAAGCTAGTAAGAGATCTTTACAGCCGTCTCTAAGTTCTCTGGAAAAGGACACGATTGAGAAGCCACCTGAAGGTTCCAAGTCTGGATTTACAAAGATGATAAACTAAGACATAGAGAATGCACCAGCTACACCTGATCCCAGAAGCCGGCGGGACTGTGAGCAGGGCGAAGGTGCTTACAGAAGCCTTCTGGATGAGTCTCTTCTCTCTGGGATGACCTCGGGATCTGCCTGGGTCAGAAGTATGATGTGGTTTTTAAAGTGACAGATAGCTTTCAAGCCTATGAAAAGCTGTATTCTTAAAGCGCACACATCCATACTGACAGGTGGGCAGGCCTGAAAAGGAAGAGTTACAAATTCATCCAAGGCATAAGGGTTTGTGAAATTTAATCTTCAAAAATTAGTCTGTTTATCTAATAACCGCCTCCCCAAATTCCAAATTCCTGTTCTTCAGAAAATGAGGCTACCTAAACCCATGTAACCAGCCATCTATCTTCTACAGACACTCAATGAACAAGCTCAGTGTCTGCTGACTGAATAAATGTAGAAAGAGGGTGGCCCAGCTGTGGGAAGTCCTACAGAGTGGCTCCTGCAGGCCACTCTGAAGAGCAGCCAGGGCTGGTACCTGCCACCCAGGAAATCCCCACTGACAGCAGCTGGCTGGAGGTAGCAGGGGGTATCTAGACAAAATCAGACACTTTGTAAAAAAGGACATTCTGTGGCTTCCTAATGCATGGGTGTGTGCAAGGAATGCCCGAGTGTTTGGATGGCCCGAGTGTGGTCCCTGGGGTGAGAACAAGCCTGTGACTACTAACAGGCAGGACATGCAGATGAACTGGAGGAGCCAGGCTGCTGTCCCGTATGGGGTCACAAATTCCAGGAGGACAGATAAGAAATGTAGCAGGACAGCTCCACAAATGATGTGGACAGGCCCTGCTCCTTGCCCACTGTCATCGTTCTCACCAGGGGCATCCCCATCATCCCTGTGTACAATGAGGCTGGGAAAAAACACAGATAAGGAAAACGCCTTATCTATGTTTTCATCTATGGAAACAGTCACAGAGGCCTTGGCTCTGGCTGAGAGCCAGATCCTCAGAAGAACAGGAAGTAAGATGCAGGCACTGTGTCTCAGACTCAGGTTGTGAAATCATTCCAGACAGCCTGGCAACCAAGGCCTGAGTCAGCCAGCGAGCTTGGTGACTGTGGGCTCCTTCAGGGGCATCTGGGATTTCAGAGCAGGTGGGGCAGGAGATGGGATCCCCACCGCCCTTCCCTCTTCCACCTCCCCCATCACCAGCTGCCACCTCTTCTCTTCCTTCCCTCACTCTCCTTCCCTCTGCTGTTAGAAGACTCAAGGACCTGAGATTCTCCTCACAGGTGGGCTGGTCCTGCTCCAGTTGGTTTTCAGAGCTGCACCTCTATCCCTATGGAAAGTTTGTGTCTTTCTGAGGTTTAAAAAAGTGGGGGAAGGAGAAAAGGACAAAGAACCAAGATTTTTCATCTGTCATCTTTCCATTTTTACTAGGGAAATAACGCTTATTTTTAAAATAAGCTCTTACTTGAAAAGACTCTGGGTACATCTTCTACTCAGAAAGGCCCCAAAACCCTGTGAGTCTGGTTTCCCTGCAGCTGAAGGCAAGCCCCAAGTGGGTCACAAGGAGTGACCACGGGCTGTGGGCCATACTGCAAAGGCAGAGCGCTTGTAAACGCACTGCATCCACCACATGGTGCAGTGCCCAGAAGAGGACCTGGCACGCCGGGCACTCCTAGGGGCTGGCGAGGCAACTTAACCGTTGTTACTGAGCACTTATTTTTTTGGGAAAAAAGGGTAGACTAACTTTCGAAAACCAGGCCATGGTAATTTGGGGATTCTGGCTGCATGTGTATTCACAGACGAACATGCGCTCAAATGCTGGCACAGAGGTGAATGGCAAAGATGACGACTGAGCCGACGGCAAGCACATTTCTGAGAGCAGAAATCAAGGTCATGTTGTCATCAACCGCCACATTTGTTTTGTGGTCAGAGCTTTCTCAGTAGGCATATCACTTCTCCTGAAGTGAAGGTTTTGATTAGCACATCCATTAACTCTTACAATACGTACAGAAGATTGTTGAAAGCTTGAGAAATAACAAGAATTTTAGGCATATCTGGTGGAAGTATAAATAAATTATCTTAATGCATCTTTTTCAGTTTTGTGCTAGAGTATACTAATATCTGTACTGTTTTGTTAATATCTCTGTACAACTGCCACAAATTCCTCTAAAAAACCTCTGTTGTACAACAAAGTCACAAACTGCTCTATGAAGCTGCACTATGTGTGTATATGTACACCTCTTTAAAAATTATGCATTAAAATCAACACTTAGTGAGATGCTTTCAAAGCAATCTTAAAAATCGTAAACCACAAATCACAAATGCTTACTATCTTACATCTAAAAGTTCTAATGCAGTGAAGATAGCCTGAAGGCCTCAGTCTTTGCCATGCTTAGACACAAGAGCAAAGTGCAGTGTCCACGCTCTCCCTCTCCATCTGGGGTCTCAGGCTGGCGGAGTGACTCAAGCAGCAGAGCGCCTGCCTACCAAGTGTGAGGCCCTGATTTCAAACCCCAGTACCAACAGAAATCCCAGATCTTAGGTCTCACGGTCACCACAGCCCATCCTAACCTTCAGGGTAGTGTCCATGTAGGGGTCCTCCTCACGAGCCACCGCTGCACTGCACCGTACGGTGAAGCACTGCAGGTTGTTGCTGAGGGAGACAAGAGAGGCGCTGAGCAAGGTGGAGCCTAGAACCCACTCCCGCAGTGGGGAGGGCCCAACCTGCAAACAGAGCAATGTGCGGGGAGGGAACACTCGTGCTTGTGAAATGCTGAGGAGTTATGACTGCTTCTAGGAAGGAGAGTACCAGGCATCCTCGTGGAGGATTAAGCACATATAACTGGTCCTCACCTCATCCCTACTGAACCAGAATCTCATGGCTGAACCTGGACACATGTGTTTCTACTAGATGTACAGTCATCTGACTGGATGTACAGCCCTAGGTAAGAGCCACAGATCTCGGTCAACATCCTCTTCTTACAGACAACGTGAGACCCAAGATCTGGAGCAAGGAATGGATGAGCAACTGTACAGCAAAAGGACCGAGGCCTTCTGGAAAGGGTACGACACCACCTGGTGTCATCTGTTGAGGCTAAGTCAATACCAATTCCAACATTAAAAATAGTTATCAGTTTACTTAGAAATTACTGCCAAACCCAGCTTGTAGTGGGCCCACAGGAATGACTTTTAAAAGTAACCTAGAGGGCTAGGGGTGTGGTTCAAGTAGGTGAGAGCCTGCTTTGCAAGCAGGAAGCCCTGAGTGCAAATCCCAATCCCAGCCCCCCACCGCCAAAAAAAAGCAAACTAGAAAGTGGGAGAGGTAAAACAAACTCTTAGAACTAAAAAGACCTCTAAGACTAAAGCACCCCTCACAGCAACGTTGTGGGGGTGCCCCTTCCACAGAAAGCACTCTGGCCTTCAACTGGGGGCTCTGTCCTTGTAGTGAGGGCAGACAGGGGCCTCCAGCTCCATCCCCACAGTCAGAGGAAATGACCTCTGTGGCCAGCATGGTACTGGGACAGCAACACCACCATTTTCAAATTGGATCAGTGTAAACTGTGGGGGGAGCAAAACCAAGACCTACGGTGCAGCCACTGTGACCGAGGACAGCAGCACAACCAGAGACCAGTGACCTCAACTACAGGGTGAGGATGGGAGGTGGGCCTCTGAGTCACATGCACCTCAGCGACCCAGCTGTGGCTGCTGCTAGACTGCCAAGCGAAAGTTCCAGAGGATGAAATGAACTCCAACGTGCAGGCGTGGAAAGACGTCCGAGATAAAAGAGAATGCTGCTGCACGGTGGGCAGAGCTCGCTCCACGTCTGTGAACGTAACTCACAGGAGGAAATGCGCGATGAAGAAAACAAAGTTGGGGGAACATACAGGGTGTAGGATTATGAGGCTTTTGATTTAGGTATTCTCATAAAATTATTTGATATGGTTTTATACTGCGCCTTGATTCTTAAAAAAAAATTTTTTTTAAACTTTTATTTATTTTTATTTTTTGGTGGGACTGGGATTTGAACCCAGGGCTTCATGCTTGCAAAGCAGGCACTTTACCACTTGAGCCACACCTCAAGCCCCCAAAAACCAATTTTTTAAAGATATATAAAAGGGCTAGTAGAGTGACTCAAGTGGTAGAATAACTGCCTAGTAGCATGAGACCCTGAGTTCAAACCCCTGTAGCACAAAAAAAAAAAAAGCTGGATGCCAGTGGCTCTCACCTGTAATCCTACCTACTCAGGATGGATAAGAGTTCCAAGCCAGCCTGGGCAAATTAGTTCGTGAGACCCTATCCTGAAAAGAAAACCATCACAAAAAAGGGCTGGTGGAGTGGCTCAAAGTGTAGGCTGTGAGTTCAACCCCACTACCACCAATGTTGAAGAAACTTTTCAAGATAACCTTATCAGACAACGTACTTCTGAAATATGTATCACTGGGTAAAACTTAATTAAAACATGTAAAAATGAGTTCAATGATAGTTTAAAAAATAGGAGTGGGGTTCCTTCAGAATCTGAACTTATCACAACTTTTCTAATGTCTAACGGCTCCACAAATTAATGATGTCAGAGTATATTTTGGTGTCAATATTAAGAAAAGCTCCAATATCTTCCTACCAGTGGTAGGAATATCTGGAAATTTTAAATGCCTTCAAAACCTCACAACACTGTTTTCAGGTCTCTGCATTCCAAATTAATTCATGACCTATGTATAAAAGAGAGGGGAAAGCCAGGCGTGGTGGTGAACACCAGTAATCCCAGCACTTAGGAGGTGGCTACAGGAGGACCTTGAGTTTGAGGCCAGCCTGGGCTGCATAGAAAGACGCTGTCTCCAAAAAGAAAGAAAGAAAGAAAAAAAATGAAAAAAAGAGGTAAGGATATAAATTTAGTAGCTCCACTCACCAAATTCTCAGTGTCTTCTCCATGTATGCAATCAGGAGAAAGAGGACAGTCTTTTGCATTTGGGGACAGAAATTAGCACCTCCATTCCTTCAGTCTCCTTTCCCTGGTTTCTGATATGCTTCAGATTTCTAGCTTTTTCTACTTCCTTGAAGACCCTTTTCTTCTCAGCTTACTAAACATGACCTTCACCAGAGTTTAGTCCTCCAACGACTTTTCTCTGCTGCACACCCTCAGGGTCATTTTTTTGAGAATCAGCTCTTTGTTGATGGGAATGAATATATGAGCCTTCCTCTCCATCCTTAGCTACAGTCTTACCTGTCCAAAGCCTGTTAGCATCACTCCTGATATTCCATGAGCATCTCAACATGAAATGTTGAAACCAAACACCAGCCTCCATTCTTCCATAAATCCAGACTCTGCACCCTTGGTGGGGTTTTCCACTCCTTCTCAATCCCCATTATTTTGTTAGACTCCTTAAGAAACTCTCCATGAAGCCGCTCCTATCTATCCTTACTTCTCTCCCTGCCTCTGTCCTTCCTGGATACAGTCCCTCGATCTTCCTTCCTGAACCATTCCACAGCTTACTCGCTCACCCTCCCTGGATTCATCCTCCACAGCCTACTCACTCATCCCTGCTGGATCCATCCTTCATAGCCTGCTGGCTCATCTGCATTTGACCCACGCTCCATAGTCCATTTGCTCATCTGTGTTCCATCCATCTCCATGAAGGCCCGGTTAGTTTTCCTAAGCAGTGTTCTGAGACATCACTTCTCTGTTTCGTTTTTCAAAGCCTTGAGCTAGCTCTCTATCGCTGTTCCCAGCACTTCCCTACTCTTTAGCATCTTCACATTTGAAGAGTATCACTACACCACCCTCTGGAAGTGGGAAGGCAAGCTAGCGCCACACTGTTCCCTGAAGACACACACACTCTCACTCCACTGTCCCTTACACTGGAATCAGGAGGGAGCAGCCCCCAGGAGTGGGCACAAACCCTAGGTGTACTCTGCAGAGCCTCCTGTATGCTCCAGCACATGCTGGGGACTCTGACACTCCACTCAGTTGAAAATGAGAATTCAGTGCTATGCAATTTACTACTGGCTATTTCTGAAACAGTGGACATAGCCTTCGTTCAATCTTCCCTCTGCCTATAGTGCCCACTTCCTCTAACCTCCACCATTCAAAAACTCTAACACAACCATCCTTCTGACACTTCCCCACATGACCTGGCCAAAAGTAATTTCCTCCTCCCAGGACACACTGCACTTCAGGAAGTCTTAAGATCTTACCCAAAAACCTCCCAATGCTCGTGCCCCTGTGTGTGTCTCTGGCATTCTCTTACACTGTTGCTTTAGAGCAGATGATCTATCTAATTCACAGTTGCTTGGTCAGAGGAGAGACCAAAGCTGCCCTGAGTATAATATAGGTTCAAAAAACAGGAAACAGAACCAAAAGCATTACTCAGCGATGAGATAAAAGGAAATGAGGTCAAACTCCTGCTTAGAGTCCTGTTCACATGCCAGTGTGCTGCGGCAAGACGGCCCAAAGACAACTGTCATCAACAAGCCAATTGACCGTTTCCCGACCTAGACTCATCAGGGCGGAGTTGGGCCATCCTTCTGGCCTCTTCACAGTTCTAACTCATTAGGGAAAAACTTGACTCCTACTGAAAGAACATGGGAGCCATCAGACAGAAAGCCTAAAAAAGGAAGCTAAAGAACTGTCCAGCCAGCCCCAATGAACTTTCCTTGGAATTCCCTATGGAGCTTCCCATCTGAAGATCCAGATCTCCTTACAAGGAGGTCCACCTAGCCTAAGGAATCAAAACACAAACAAGCCAGCATCTGAGACTTTCACACTGGAAAGGCAGGAATGGGTCATGTGACATGTGACACATAGACAAATGTGGCTTGTAACTTACAGTGCTCTCTGCTAGTTCACAGGATTTCCAGTTAAAGATTTAGGTAGCATCTCAAGAATTTACAGGAAAATAAGTGACTCAAAGGCCAGCAAGTGACACTGTAACAGTACCTTGTGATGACGTGCAGAAACTGTGGCGTGAGCACTGCCTGCTGAGAAGTCTCAGGGTACTGGTAGACCGACATTAACTCCACAGACTTGACAACCATGTACAGATAACCCATGTGAGGCAGTGAGAAAAAGCAGAAGAGACTCAGCAGCTCTCTTTCCTGAGACAAGTTTTTTCCACTGGAAGTAGGAGAACCTGCATTCAAATACGAAAAATAAATAGCATGAAACCAGTAACTAAAGGGGGAGAATCCATGCCTTGACTTTCCTATGTGGACTACACCCTTGGGTAGCCAGAGTGGTTCTTTGCAGAAGAATGCCAGTTGGAAATGAGAAAGGAGTGACATCATTGGAACATCACCATTTTGCAGCCCCTACTAAATAAACACACACATGTAAAGACCAGCGATGGCTGTCAACATGACAGAAAGAGGCCTCCAGACACCACAGGCTCTCCAACAGAGCTTGGCACTACTCATGCTGCAAACAGTAATAATGACCTTCCAGTCAAGCCCGAGTCTAGACCAACACAGGCAACAGAAGTACACACATCTGCAATTTAAAGTTGTCTATAGTATTTTTAAAAGTAAAAAGAAGCAGGTAAAGTTGAATAACATTGCATTAATCCAACGTATCTAAAATCTTGCCATTTCAACAAGCAATAAAGAAACTAGCATACACATATACAGTTGTGCACTAAGTCTTCAAATTCTAGTGTGTATTTTAAACTTACAGTGTTTCTCAGTTTACACTAGTCTTAATGTCCACTGCTCAGCAGCAGCACTGGCTGTTACCATACTGGACAGTGAGATGTAGACCTCACTAACCAACTCACATGGAAACACAGAGGACACAGGAACATGACAAACGATACTGCAAGTAGTCATCTGATTTGGCAAAATTCAGATTGTGGGAAATTTTGCAGTACAAGTCCAATTTTTGCCAAATAAATTGAAAAGAAAAGGGAAAGAGAAATGAATAACTGACAGCTTAAGAAGAGATTTAACTATTCAGGAGGCAGAGATTAAGAATACTGTGGTTCAGGGACAGCCTGGGCAAAAAGTTAGGAAGACCCCCTTTCAACCAACAAATAGGGTGTGGTGGCAAACACCTGTGATCCCAGCTACCCAGGAGGCGAAGAGGCTGGCCTCAAGCAAAAACACGAGACCCTATCTAAAAAATAACTAAAGCAAAAAGGGCTGGCGATCTGGCTCAAGTGGTAGAGCACCTGCCTAGAAAATGCAAAGCCCTGCAGTTCAAACCCCAGCACCACAAAATAAATTTTTAAAAAATTTTAAAAAGCGTAAGAGACTTGAAAGACATAGCAACATATATTGTTTGAGTATCTGACTCAAATAGATGAGTTGTAGAGGACACTTTTTTAGACATGAGGAAAATGTGAATGCTGACTAAACATCTGATGATATCAAGGACTATATGAAATAGTGTCTTGAACTTATGTCAAATAACTCCTCCTGATTAGAGAACACTGAAATGGTATAAACTTCAGGATATCAAAACCCCACCTACCCACCCCATCCCACAGTATGGAGCAGGGACCGTCATGGCAGCCGTGTGGTGTGTACAAGGCAGTTTACTGCACTATCTCCTCAATACTAATGGTGTTTGAAATTTTTAAAACCAAAGCTTTAAAGAAGTGCTCCTCCAGAGATCCCTTAAGAATGCCCATCAAAGTCAAGCACCTAGTTCTGCCAACTGGCCAGTGAAGCGAGCTTTTTTCTCACTCGTTACTACTGAACCTAACTGGGCCTAAGTGGGTGGCAACGGAAGATTCAGAAAGAACACAGGATACACAGAAAGACAGAAAGTTGGGGCCAGGTGTGCTGGGCGCTCAGGTGGAGACTCACAACAGCCTCATTGCTTCTTTTCTCTATTATTCTCTTCATTTACTCTGCCTCTTTTCTCTATCTTTATTCTTTAAGGCCTTACTCCTTTACAGTTCTTTAAAACCTTGCTTCTAAAGTCTTCTTTCTATTCTTTAAAACCTCACTTCTAGTCTTCTTTTCTGTTCTTTAAAGTCTCTTTCCTTAGACTCACTCTGTCCCATGTTTTCTCTTAGCTTTTCTTTGCTCCTAGATTTGCACTGTCCCATGGTCTCTCTTTAGCTTTCTTAAAGTGTCGGCCCTCAGACTTGCTAGCAATTCCCCTTTAGCAATTTCCCTTCAGCAATTCATTTTCCCCCTTCAGCCATCTCCCCTCAGCAATCCTCCCTTGCAAAAGCCTCCCACATCCCAAAAGCCAAAAGTCTGGTGTCCTTCTTCAGTGAGTCTTTTATATCCAGTGGTAAACAGGGTGGAGCAGCAGTTCTTAGGGAGCGGTGTGACACTGTAACAGGAGGAACGTGTGTTAAACAACTTAGGAAAGCCGTTGAGCTGCATCTCACCTTCTTGCTCTCTTTTGTGACTGATGCTGTACCAAATCTCAGCCTACAGATTATTTGACATAAACATCTTAGGAAAAGTAGCTGCTCTGCATCTTATTCTCACCCTGTTCTGCGGCTGGGGCTGTGCCCAACTCAGCCGACAGAACATTGGGCACAGCTGTACTTATGTCCTCACAGACTTCTCCTACTCTGCTCTCCACAGGCCAGCTCTTTCCTGCCTCTTCTTTCCTACACGCACCCAGGCACCAGCCAAACAGAACTGCTCACCAACCTCCAGACACGTGATGTTTTAAACCAGGCACATGTTGGTTTCCCTTATGTAGTATCTTACCAAAATCTCTGTCTTCTACACGTTCCACTCATCTCTTGGGGCCCAGCTTCAACATAACCACCAAACCACCCACTTGTCCACACAGGAAATATTCACAGAGTGCCTGTCAAAGGGCTGCTGCTCTACATTCTAGGTACCCCAGGGCACAAGACATGGCAACCACTCTCACAGGGTCTCATTCTAGAGCTGGGGATTGCAATGGAGGATAAACAAGGAAACTCTTCAGTGTGTAGAGAAGGGATATTGTACATTGAGAGGTCAGGGACGTCCTCTGAGACAAGGTGACACATTTGAGCTGAGTGCTGAATGACTTTGACAGCATTAGTCATGCAAGATCTAAGTGACATATACTCTAAGGTGAGGAAGTAGATATGTAGTTGGTGCAGCTGAAGAAGAAAAAGACCACTGTGGATGGAGAGGTAAGCAAGGTGAGAGTGAGGTAAGAGGAGTTGAGTTAGGTCATGCAGGCCATGGCAGGACTTGGAGCCTTTATTCCAAGTGCTCTGGAAGCTCTCTGGGTTAAAGAGTAGACCATCTGTTTTGGCCATGGGCCCTAGCTGGTCTCAAGCCTTGTGTCACATCCCCCCTCCCTTGCTCTACTCTCTGTGGTCTTACTTCTCTCAGTTCCTCCAATATGGGCTCCTCCACCCCCACACAGTCTTTGCTGCTTCCTCTCCCCTGCACCAGTTGCATCCCACTCAGCCCAATTCTCCTTTCGGATCCTTTCTCAGGAAGCCTTCCCAGACCAAGGCTCACCGTGGGTTCTTCCCCACAGAGCACTCACTCAGTGCATAACACAGCGAACATCACACTGTAGCCGCCCCATAACATAAACCAGCCTCGTGACATTTTAGGAATGTGGAAGCTCCTGTGACCTGGGAGAAGCGGAGGAACCAGCTGGTCAGGGGACCAAAAGGTACAGGAGGCCTGCACACACCAACAGGATTCCACTACAAACTGTTCTTTAGATTAGGGTGGAAGCCATGTGCTATATGTATAATACTCCCAGTCCAGTGCTCAGGGGGTACCCGGTTTCCAGGTTCCGCTATGCGTCTCTCTGTTCAGCCTTTCGATATCAATAGTTCCTTTCCTGCCTGTAACTCCGGTGCTCCGGCCTCTTATTCTTAAGAATGTTCTGAGAATAAGAACACAGTGGCGCATCCGTGGATTCCCCTGTGACATCTGACACCTGTGACAGCCTCTGAAGTGCAGAGGGTAAAAGGGTGCTACCTACTTTTACCAGTTCCCTAATATTCAGCACAGCAGACATGCAACAGATGTTTAGTAAAAAATAAGTAAATAAATAAATAAAATGAAATGAAGGTTATAAAAACACTAGGTCAGAAAAATACCTTTTTCTAGACACTGTCTAAAGATGTCAGGCAGGCCATGACCAAAGGCAAAGCCTGCTAGTGAGTCTCCACGTCGGGCTCATTAGGTCCCTGGCAGGAACCAATATGATGCCCAGCTCCAAAACCAACCCACGAAGTCAGTCTCCAGCATCAGCACTTTAACATACTGGAGACAGCCAGTGTGTGGCAGGGCTGAGAACCAGGGCTCTGAGTGAACTTCCACCAGGGCTCTCCTGAAAGCCTGGGTCACAAGGCTGCCCTAAGAAGCTTGTAAGAACCCAGGTAGGCCTCCGCTCAGCAGGACTCCAGTGTTCTTGTGGGCCTAGCGCTCATTCTAAAAGGGACAAGGATTTTTGTCTGTTGCCCTCTCCTGGCTTCACTTCTCCAGACATGACAGCTTTGCCGTGCTCACAGGTGTGTGCTAAGGAACTTGTCCAAGGGCAGACTTGGTGAAGGAATCAAATCTGGTACCTGCGTGCTGGGCCTCCTTGCACCCACACCTCACAGTACATACCTGTCTGATAAATGGGGAGCAGCTGGAGTGAATGCAGCTTGATGTCGTCAGACAGGACGCAGAAGGAAATGTCAGGAGTGAAACGTCTGTGGGGTTAAGAGGACAGGGAGGGAACATCTCAGTTCCACGTACTCTGAGCCGGCACGTGAACATGAGATGCTCGTGAGCGGAAGTGCTCTGTACCTATAGAGCAGGTGGTGAACGTGAGAATATTCTACTTTTTCATCAGCTAGCCCTGTAGATTCCAGCGTGATAGATACTCCAGACTGCTCACTTTTCTCCCCCAGAAGTTCCATGGGCTTCTGGCAGATAACAAAATCATCTGACTCAAGCTGTGAAGTCTCATCCCTGGTACCTTAAAAAGTAAAACGTAAGAGTTAATCAACTTCAGGTACAACTACGTGCTCAGTGAAGTCTAGAGAAGGTGCCGGGCACGGCCGTCCAACTAGAGAACACGGGAGTTGAGGTTAGGAGCCCTTGCAGCAGGGCTGATCCATGACTTACGCTGAGAAGTGTCTGAAGAAACACACCCTATGACACACGGCAAGAAGTGGACGGCCAGCTCAGGATGTCAGAGAGCAGCTACGTCTGTACACAACGTGGCTGGGCACCACATATCCAAGTGCTTCAGCCTTCCAAAGGTGAAGGCTCTCTCTATTGCTAAATCAAGAACATTTACGTGAAACTCGCCGTTTACCTTGGGCTGGTCTCCTTGGATCACTGGTCTTACGTGGATGGTGATTAACTGCCTTTCCATTTTTAGGGCGTGACTCCAGTTTCAGGATTAAGACTTCTAAGTCTGACATGACAGCAACGTACCCCACACAAAAAGAAATTTCAACAGGAGTGATGTTGTCTATGTGTATAATTAAAGAGCGCTCGAAGTCCAATATTGACAACTCCTCACTAATGACCTGATACTTCAAACTAAATAAAACTAGCTTATTTGAACAGCCAACAAGGAGGTCTCCTTTCACAGGGCAGCAGGAAATGCAGAGGGGTGCCTCAGACAGTGGCATTTCCACAATGGACATCTGGTCTCCGAAGGCGGCACCGGAAGGGGCCTCCACCTGGTGCCCCACCATCCTGATGCACACACGAGAGTTCTCGGTCCTTTTACTTCTCCAGTTCACATAAGCACGCAGAAACGTGGCTTTGTTTTTCTCCTCAATTGTGACCAAATAGTCTCCTGAAAAAGAAGCGAGGGCGTGCTTGGTTACTCATTGGAAACACAGCCACTTACTTTGCTGGCATGATACGGAGCCCAAGAATCGCTAAGCCAAAGACTGACTGAACCCTGAAAGCAGCGGGATCAGGAGTATTCCTAAATCACATTGGGCACTGAGGTTCTGACACCATTCTCTTCCCACCTCAGTGTCTTACAATAACTACTAATATTCTTGAAGCAGGCAGAAATTCTACATCTTATTTCCTGTACCAGCTGAGTGTTCCTCATGGCTCTAAATCTACAGCTCCAATAGAGTTGTACCGACGAAATGGTTTGGCAGCATTGGTGTACTGTGTGACTTACTAAAATCAGGAATAGATTAAGGAACTTGGAGTTTAGCAGAACTCATACTTGACAGTCCCTCCCTTCCCACAAATCACATGCTGAGAAATAGCAGAAAGCTACAAATACTAAGTGAAACATACATAAAGGTAATTTCCTCTTAAGAGTTGATCACAACACATTTTTAACTTATAAAATAACATTTGTTGTGAGAAGTCAAATGGTAGAGAGATAAAATGGGAAGCCTAATGCCCTCCCCTGCAGGCTCCCCCCCAGGAGCCAGCATTACCTTGGCCCCCACCCTTTCCTCTCAGTAAATCCTTCCCTCCGGGTTGATATGTAGATATCTAGCATCCTTCTTTTTTGTGGGGCTGGGGTTTGAACTCAGGGCCTTCACCTTGAGCCCCACTGCCAGTTCTTCTTGGTGATGGGGTTTTTGAGATAGGGTCTCAAGAACTACTTGCCCAGGCTGGCTTCGAACCTCAATCCTCCTGATATCTGCCTCCTGAGCAGCTAAGATTACAGGCGTGAGCCACCAGCACCCAGCTCTGACATCCTTCTTAATGTCCGTAAAATACCCTACCCACACGGGTGCCATAATTTATTCAGCAGTTCCCTTATTCCTCTCTCTCTCTCTCTCTCTCTCTCTCTCTCTCTCTCGCTCTCTCTCTCTCTGCTTCAAGCATTCCCAGGTGTTTCATTCTGTAACACAGAGGCCTATAATTATACAGGTACTGGGGGCTATAATAGCATGGATTTCTGGAAGTGAGAAATGTTGGGCAAAGGGCAGGCCACTTCAAAATCAGTAGAAACTGCCAGGCTAGCACCATTAGATGACAGTGCCCGGGCGGCTGGCACGGCTTGCACATGAATGCATCCTCACCAGTGCTGGCTCTATCGGACAGGCCATTGTAAAGCTAGCAGTTTTTCCTATTTTATCAGCCATGTGTAGTTTCTCTTCTCCAAGGTCCCCATTTTTCATTAGGTTGATTTGTTTTCCTTATCAAAGGAATGTAGCTCTCTGAGAAAAAAAGGATACTACCATTTTGTTGGCCATGCCTAGGAAGTAGTTTTGGTAGTCAAATGTCTAACTCTTAACTTAGCTTATGCCGTTGTTTACTGTATAATTTTACAGTCAGATTTGTATCCTTCCCTTCTTGGCTTCTGAGTCCCCTTCCTTGTTCAACAATCCATCCCTTTCAAGTTACATAAATACACGTCAACACGCCAGGCAAGGCCTCTACTACATGAACCACACCCCTAGCCCTTTCCTTTGTATTTTTTTGTTTTGGAGATAGGGTCTGCTAACTTTTGCCCAGGTTGGGCTCAAATTCCCAATTCTCCAGCCTCCTCTTCCCAACCAGATGGGATTACAGGTGTGAACTACCGTGCCCAGCCTCTACTGTCACCACTTTTAAGCCTATGGTGCAGAGGCCTTAACCACACTCAGTGTTCTGTAAGCATGCCTACCATCTGTCTCAAGAACTACAACAAATTCCCAAAACCTGTCCCCATTGAGTACGTCCTCACTCCCGCCTCCCCCAGACCCTGGCAACTACCACTCCGCCTTCTATCTCTATGAATTTGATGGTTCCAGGTACCTCACAGGTTGAATCGTACGACAGCTGTCCTTTTGTGCCTGGAACATTTCACTTAGAATGGCACTACCAGGGGTCAACACAGGGCTTGACCCTGGCCACCAGGTCTTTCTCTTCCAGGAGCAGGGAGCTCTCATCATCCCTCGTCTTTTCTTCACCCACAGACCCTAAATTAAGTTTACCTCACTGATGGTGCTAACAATTCAAAACTGTTCTTCAAAATTTCCCCCTACTTTTTCTCTAGTGCTTTCAAATTTTATAACAGGAAAACGGCTTTGAGCTGGTTAGAGATTTAAAGAGAAAAGCCTGCAAATGTTTCTGCTTGGGTGGGAGACCTGCCAAGCATATACAGTAAATGTAAACACATGACAAGGGGAGATTTGTCACAGCAGAGGACACCTGGCATCGAGAACAGGAGACCCCAAGTGCCACATACTGCCAATGGGAGGAAGGGGTCAAAAGAGAAACACTGAAAAGTGAAAGGCAAGTTTTCGGGGTGTCAGCGTGGCCTGAAGTTGGCCCATAATCCATGCTTAGTTATGCATGGATTAATACACGTTGCCCCAGGAAGTTTAAGTTGGAGCTGTGGGCGGAAAGTTGCCCTATGTGACCCATGGTCCTAATGCCATCCCACATGACTCCCGAGCTGCTTTAAGGCAGCCAAGTGGACTACAAATCATCTTTGTTCTTCATGGTGTCATCAACAAGGTTACCTTGCTCCTTGGCGCCTCCTGCACCAGGGTGGCTAGGGTCAGTGGTGCAACCCTGGTGAAAGACTTGGCTCACCCCAAGCTGGCCTCACTCCAGAGACACTTGAGCTGTGTCTCAACAGGTGTGGCCAGGCATGGGGGAGGTTCTTAAACTCCTGGAGTGATCATCCAAGGACCCCAGGAGTCAACAGTACTGACAGGCAAGACAACTGGAGGTTTACTGAGTGTCTGCTACTTCAAAGTTTAGAAGAAATGTCCACTTGAAATCACAAAAACATACGGTCATCTGTCTATCTGTCTCTCTCACACACACACACACTGCTGAATTTGCCATTCACTACAAGTCTTGAAGTGAAAATTCCTATTTGTAAAAGACAGGAGGGTGGGAGAAACTACCAACATTGCAGAAAGTGTGACCCAAAACATGGGCTTCCAGAAAAAATACCAAAACCAGGATCTCCCCGAGAGGCAGCTTACACAGCTAGTGACTGCTCTTCAGGCAGGTGTGTGGGGTGGGATGCTGTACAGGCTCTGCTCATGTCAACCGACCACCGAGCAAGTTGTTCAGAAAAGTATCCAATGCTTGACAGTAAAAAGGCTTTTCACTTTCAAAAGACATGTGTCTTGATATATACGTACATACACACACACGACAGTGGCCTCACAGCTTTTAATTAATTCACAACAATCCCAGTGTCTGGAAATCACTAATGATTCAATGTACTTTAAAAAAAAAACATCAGAAACTGGGAGCCAAGGGTTTCTGTCAACTCACAACAAATCAGCTACTGAAGTGGGGAACGTGACCTCTTCTCCAAGGTCACGTTCCCCACTTCAGAAGCACAGCCACCAGCATTCCCACAACTGCACTTCACACCCATCCTGCGAACAGGAATCAAGATTCTAAGTGTGCTGGGCAGTTGAAAGGATCCTATGATGAATTCCCTGTTGCCTGTCTTTAAACGTAGGGATTGTGTATTAAGGACACCCGGCAGTGTCCCCTGGGTATGGCCCTACACTGCTGATGGGTGAGTAGTCCATGGACCTACAGTTGTTTACTTCCACTTGCTTACGGCTCCACACTGCCCTGTGAGCGGTTCAAGGCCGCAGGGATGGGTGGGGCAGAGGTGTAAAGGTCCGGCCACTGTTTGGTGTCTTCAGGACACTGTTCTCCAGGCGCCTGGTTTTGTAGGGTGGAAATTTTCTACACTAAGCCTATTCGAGTGTTTCTCATCAGTGGGACCCGGCCTCGGGCTTTTTTTCTGTGGGGTCTGAGCATCTCTGCTCGGGGATACAGGCGCGCACCCGCCACTGTCACGACAACCGCGCGGCGCCCCTTCCGCGCACAGCGAAGAGACCCGAAGACCTTCGGCAAGTTCCGGGACGTGCGCAGCCGGCCGCCCGCCGCTACTCACCCGCCTCGCTGTAGGCCATGCGCAGAACCCTGCCGAGCGTGGAGAAGGCGCCCCGCGGCCGGCACAGCTCGTGGCCGGATACGGCGAACGCCTCCACCTTGCAGCCCGCCGCCACGAACAGCGCGTCCCGTCCGCCGCCGCAGAACCGCTCGGGCTCCAGCTTGCAGGGCACCACCTGCTGCGACCCGAACGGGTGCAAGTTGTACAGGTGCACCATCCCGGCGCCGGCCTCGGGCCCGCGCGACCCGCCACCTCGCCGGGCACCCTGAGACCCCGCCCCCGCGCCGCCGCAGAGGCTGCACGGCTTCCGCGAGCCGTCACGTGAGCACGCGCCCGCCCTCGCCGGCGGCTCCGCTTCTAAAAAAGCCGGGAGACTCGTCCCGCCCGCCTCGCGTCCCGCCCCGCCTCGCGAGAACAGTCACGCCTCGCGCTCTCCCCGCCCCATGAGAGCCCGCAGCCCCGCCCCGCGAGGGAAGCCACGCCCACGTCCCCGCCCCATGGTGACCACGCCCCTGGCCCCCGCCCCGCGAGAGGAGGCATCCTCATGGTCCCGCCCCCCCGAGGGCGACCACGCCCACAGCCCCCGCCCCGCCAAGGGTAGCCACACCCATAGCCCCGCCCCGTGAGAACCGACGTGCCCCGCCCTGCCCCAATTCTGCTGGAACAGGGCCATTCCTACTACACTTGCCTAAGCTTCAAATATATAAAAAGTGCCAGGATATTAGTTGAGCCCTGGGACCTTCCCGCATATTTCCTTAAAAAGATTGGTGCACACATTTTTTTGTGTAATAGTAAAAAACTGGAAACAATCCAAATGTCCATCAACAGACGAATGAATTGCTTTATCCTTACAGAAATATTGCTTTGAAATAAAGAGGTATTGATACCCACGACAACATCAGAAAATAATTATGCTCAGTGAAAGAAGCCAGAAGAAAGGGACCCATACTAGTATGATCCCATGTATATAAAATTCTAGAAACTACAGACTATAGTGACAGAAAGCATGGAGGAAACTTTTAAGGGGGATAGATACACTCTTTATCTTGATTTTGATGATGGGTTTACAAGTGTATGCATGTCAAAGCTTATCAGTTTATGTACTTTAAGTATGTGAGGGTTTTTTTCCTAGAGACCACAGACATTTACAGTTGGCCCTCCCTTTTTTGTGGATTCCAGGTTCATGGTTTCAGTCAACTTCATATTGAAAATATTGCTTTAGCCAGGCACCAGTGGCTCGTGCCTGTAATCCTAGCTACTCAGGAGGCAGAGATCAGGAGGAATGTGATTGGAAGCCAGCCTTGGCAAATTGTTTGCAAGACCCTATCTGGAAAAAACCCATTACAAAAATAAAGGTCTGTTGAAGTGGCAAAAGGAAGGAAGGAAGAAAGGAAGGAAGGAAAGAAAGAACCCATCGCAAAAAAGGGCTGGCGAGTGGCTCAAGGTATAGGCCCTGAGTTCAAACCCCAGTACCTCAAAGAAAATATTGTTTTATTTGCATCTGCATTGAATATGTACAGACTTTCTTGAAGCAATCCAGTATTAAAAACTACATAGCATTTTGTTGTGTTGGGCATTATAAGTGACAGAGGGATAACTTAAGGTACACAGGTGGACCTGAGTATGCTATATGCAAATACTATGGCATTTTATATGTAGATGTGGCATCTGTAAGTAGTGAGTAGTGCTGGAACCATGGAACCCATCCCTCAAGGGTACCCAAGGACGACCAGAACGCCTGGAGATTTCCTCCACGTCCCTTTGTACTTAGAGGTAACATCCAGCTCATTGTGTGTGTGCACCTCAGCTACACAGGAGGTATGTGACACACATTTGGTCAAGAAAGAGACAGTGTCGTTTTCTTACTCAAAACATTCCGATGGCTTTCCACAATAGTCAGATTAAAGCTAAAATTTCTTAGCTTGGCATTCAAGGCCTTGCGTTATCTGGCTTGAGTGCCTCTCTCCAACCCAATTGCCTGCCACTTGCAGGGAGCAGCCCTGTCTGTCCCCTAAGCATCCTGCTGACTCCTTCCTCAGTTCTCTGTGCTTGCTGGCCCCTGTGCCTGGTGCTTGCCCCCAAATCCCCTGTGACTTACTTCCTCATGTCTTCGTAGGTCCTCATATCCCACCCAGACTCTCCATTACCTCCGGCCTTTCTTTGCTTATTTAGCTTTTATCATTACCTGATATGCTATATTTGCTTATTGTTGTCTTTAATAACATTTCTTATTATTTGCTTATTTTTCGTCTTTCTCATCTATTAGAAAAGAAGCAAACTGAGAGAAGAAACCATGGCCCCATGACCTAGAACCTTGCCTGACACATCCTGGGTGCTGGGACCCAGTGGAATGGGACTCTTAGATATTTAATCTCACACACCTTCAGTTGCCTTAATTCCATCTCCAAAGTCACTTGATGATTCTAGAATATTGCGCACAAGCCAACCTGAGAAGCGGAACGGGGGAGAGGGAAACATGGAGGTCGCTCTTCAGCTGTGCACACAGGGTACACACACAAAGACCCCACCCAAGCCAGAGAAAACCCAAGTAACAGTGCTTCAGAATTCCATCCTGACCGTGACGTTAGGAAAGCCCCTTCCTCACTCAGGCTCAGACTAAGGGGACAGGGACCTGTTCTGTAATATTACTATTTTTACCAGTAGAAACCCAACTACCCTTTCCTTTCCTTTGTTCCTTCCCTCCCCTTCCCTTCCTTTCCTTTCTCTTTCCGATAAACTTACTAGGACTTGGTAAGATAGAAATGCTCTGTGTGAAACTAGAGCAAAGAGCTTGAACCCAAAACATACCAGGTGAGGAATTACCTCACCAAGCCTGTTTTTTCTTCTGCAGTACTGCTGTGCCACACGCATACAACATAATACAGACAGCTTTAATGAAAGGCCTGCCACAGAGGGAGAAAATAAGTGTGATTTTATCCCTGTGTCTCCCAGAGCACACAGTGATGCATGGTGTTAGCTGCTTGAGTAACCTAAGAATGAACAGGAGCCTGCAAAGTAGGCTCCAGAGGTGAGGACAGAGAGCAAAAGGGCCGTGATGGAGGGAGCCCGAAGCAGTGCGAAGTGGAGGGAACTTTCACTATTTGTAGAGTAGAGAACAGAACAGCACAGTGAAGGAGACGGTAGCTCTGGAGAGTCTGCCTGGATTTGAACCCTGGCTCTGCAGTTTCCCAACTATGTTGTGCGATGTGGGAAAAGGTATTCCACCAGTCTGGACCTCAGTTTCCTCATGTGTAAAATGGGAATAGTGGGAATGGGGAATCCTCTTATTCTGAGGATTAAGTGAGCTAAAACCTGTAAGGTCAAGGTTTATTGTAAGAGCCCAGGAAGTGAAGCAGCTATTATCACTGAATTCCCAGTCACTGCATTGAAGCTTTGTTCCTGAAACTTCCAAATGCTCCGGAGGAGGTCATCGGCTGCTCCGTTTCAGCTGCTCCAAGCACATTCCAAGCCTTGCTTCCCACAGGGATCCCTGCTTTTCTACTTTGAGTTGATTCCTGTAAAATTTAGATTCTTTCTTTAAAAGAGAGGAGGGTTCAAAGCCTTGCGTCTCAATTTTGCTGTACATTAGAATTCCCGGGGAGATTTAAAAAATACCACACTTCTTATTGATGAGATCGAATGCTTGGGGATGGGAACCAGGCATCACATTTTAAAGATTCAAATATGTAATGTAACTAAATTGGGGAACCACTGGCCTAAAGGGCTGTTTATGTGTTTAGGATGCTGAGTAATTTCAAGTCCTTACCGTGAGACCTTGTTTCCTTTCTCTATGCAATATGCTTCACAGCTATGGAAATAACTGTGTCAAGTTTTTATTTTTATTGTTGTGCTGGATGGGGGTACATTGTGGCATTTACAAAAGTTCTTACAATGTATCAAATATAGTTGAATTCACTCCCTCCATCATTCTCCTTTATCCCCCCTCCCTGTCCTCACGTTTCAAACTGGCGAAATCACTTTTCAGACAAATACTGATGGTCAACAGTGACCCCTGGTGGTCTGATGAGAAATCTAAACTAAAACTAATTTTCTTGGCAGAGGCACTCTAAGCACAGCGAAAAGACATGCCTCTTTCACATACGCATATTATCTAGAAGGGGGACAGACCTAAAGATGGAGGGGCCAAGTTCAAGGAACCACTGCTTAGCTGCAGAACCTGACTAACCCTTCCTCCCCAGGGTGGCCTGGTCTCCACCCTTTTTCCCAGCAGGAGCAACACCAGTAGCTTCCTGTTTCCTTTGATAGGTCCAAGCCACACTCCTGACTCCTGATGTTGCAGGAATCCCAAGCTGAGCCAGGGGACACTGAGGCAGACGAGCAGGAAGCAACATTTTATTGTGCCGGCGCAGACTCAGCAGACTGAGTCTTGGCTGAGCACCAAGAACAAAGGGGTCTCACCTTATATACCCTTGCAAGCAGGTTACAGAAGCAAAAAGCAAAGCTCAACCCACATATGGCTGCATGTGACTTCACTGGCTATTTTATTCCCCCAGTGCTATGTGACCTTCATGTTTCAATTCTTTAAGTTTTGTATCTCTGCTTTGCCACCCCTTCCTCCTGCCTCATCATCAGAACACAGCTTGCTTCTCTTTTGGTCCTCCTTCCTGCTACACTAAGACTGCCAAACACGCCACATAACTGACCTGAGCCACCTGGACAAGGGCAGTGATGCTTCTTCCCTCGGCGCCCTAGCATTTTGATTTCCTCTGTGGGCAGAAGGCAAAGTTGCCCTGTTAGCTGGGGGATCTGATGGACTCTACCAGGAGGTATAGGTCCATCCCTCAGAGTAAGGATAACTGTTCCCATTTTACCAGGTAGGGGAATGGAACCCAATGAAGGCAATCGCCTAGACCATCCATCCACCTTAACGCATCCTTTATCTCTGTCCTGAATCTGAGAAACTGAGTCCTCAGTACAGAGCTTTCCTCTCCAGGCAGGCCTCTGAAAGTCCCTGGCTGACCTGTCGCCCAGCAGTAATGAGACAGCAACGGAGCGCAGTTCTCAATGTGATGCCAGAATGCAAAGCAAAAGCATGAGGGTTTGTAAGGTCTGCGAGAAGCTAGGGTATCCGAGCAGGAGGGTGCGGCTGAAGACTTGGGGGAGAGGTACGGATGTGTGTGGGGGCGAATCCTTGTGTCTGGATGGGTGGGGTTGAGTCTTTGCAGCAGGAACCGAATGTAATTAGAGCACTTGACGATCAGGAGCAAGAAAAGAGAGCTGGGGCCCGTGTAG